AAGTTGTTAGAGGATAAGGTAAATGATAAAAGCATTTTTCTAATTGTGTGCTGTGCAGTTCCAAGGAGTTCTGCCTTACACATATAATAAAATGTCAACAACGTCGCATCCCATATTCTTAATAAATATTGTTGGTTTGCTTTTCTTCAATCTATCTGGCTCGTGCCATGCAGGATCTGACAACAGCTACTCAGTTGCATTAACTGAACAGCCTCAAGACTTTTTGGGCAAAATCAGCTTTGTGAGCTGCCACCTTCCAGCTTCCAGCGGTGGCCCTCCCACCCCAGCAACCACCATAAGGGCTTGTGAGGAAACATCTTGTGCCGAGGGGATGAGAGAGGAAACACATTAAGGGTAGACTCAAAAGTGCTGAAGAGAAGAAAGGAAAGAGGAGCAGACGAGTAAAGCATGGGGCAGAAGGACAAAAGATGTGGTGCAAACCTGAGTTCCACTGACGTATCCCCATCCATCAAGGCAACCAAATCAAGCAGTCCCATCATGTGTTTTACTCCTTCTCCCTCCCAGTCCCTCCTTGGATCATGTGTCTTTTCAGATTGTTAAACAGCAGGGACTGCCTGATTCTCGTGAGCCTTTCAGGGGCTCTTTGGACCAAAGAGGAACGCTTTGAATAAATAAGTAAATAAAGTATGGTTAACTGGAAACTGTTTACTTAAAAGCAGGTTATTTGCACACTACCAGCTATGAAAACAGAACTTTCTGGTCTGCTCTTTTCTTGAGAATCATGCCACCCGTCCCACCTCGAGTCCTTCCACTGGTGTCCTCTATGCATACAATCAACTTCAAGGTCCTTGTCTTAAGCCTGTGGCTCTAGTGCTCAGATCATGGGGCCCTGCCATACAAGTACATTTGTTTCCCATTGGTTCACCACAAATCCTTCCTCAAGGCTGTGCTTTGGCTGCAAGCATCTTGCAGATTTATAAATAATCACAGCCGTTATGAGATAAATAGAGGATTCCCAGCCTTGTGGTTTATCTTACAATATTAATGCAGGGATAATTACAGAGCAGAGTCAGCAGGCTGGAGGGAAAGTGGTGCCTAACTTGCTCCCACTCACAGGTGCTCTTCTGGCTTACCTTTCTGAAACCAAAATAATCCTAATTGGGACAAGAAGGGGCCTCAGGAGAGGAAATGCAGAGAACTGGCTGGTGCAGGAAAAGATGTGCACTTCCTTTGCAAAGCTATGTGGGGTCTTGAGAAGCATGTTTTTGCTAAAACAACATGCCACCCCACCCACAAAGTAGCCTTAATTTCAGCCATTAGTGCTACCCTTTCTCTGTTATACCACTCCTGTCTCATTTGTGGTATAAGAGGATACTGGATATTTCTTGTTGCCCTTTTAACACAAGCCTGTGCAAGATGTGGTGTTGTGGTTAAACCAAGTGCCAACTCAGACTAGAGAGACCATTTCTTTCTTTCGCCATATGGTCTTTATAATGCTAGGTCTATTTATTTATTTAAAACTTTTATATGCCGTTCCTTATGCATGGCATCTCAGGACGGCTCACAATCAGTAAAATCAAATACATTAAAAACAACCTAAACAGCATATAACCAATAAAACACAACTGTTGCATTAAAATACTAATTTTTAAAATAACGGTTAAATAAAAAGGTTTTTGACCTGGTGCCGAAAAGAGTATAAACTTGGGGTCAGGCAAACCTCTCCTGGGGAGCGCATTCCACAATCTGGGCACCACCGCAGAGAAGGCCCTACTCTGAGTAGATTTCCTTTTTACCTCCTTCAAGGAGGGTTCCTGGAGCAGGGCCTCTCCTGCAGATCTTAAGGGGCCTGAGGGCATATAAGGAAGGAGACCTTCCTTCAGATATCCTGGTCCCAATCTGTTTAGGGCTTTATAGGTCAAAACCAGCACCTTGAATTGGGCCTGGACTTCAACTGTAAGCCAGTGGAGCTGGTTGAGGACCAGCGTTATATGAGAATAATGACCAGTCCCCATCAGCAGCCTGGCAGCTCTATTTTGTACCAACTGAAGTATCTGGACCATTTTCAAGGGCAGCCCCACGCAGAGCATGTTACAGTAATTTATCCAGCACATCAAAGATAAGGTGTTTCAAAATCCCCTCAAAATAGCCACATTCAGTTATTTTTTTAAGCCAAGTTCTGGAAGCACTTAAGTATTTCCAAGCATAGGAAGGTACTTCCCCTTGCAGATCTCAGTATGATGTGATGCCTACTGCTTTCTTAGATATGAGATTTGGGGCACAAGCCTGTTGCCCCAGCCCTTGGAGCACATGCATCCAGTGCAGGGTGCAAGGTGTTTCATTTGGACAGCTGTTTTTGGCCATCTAACTGAAGGCCAGGCAGCTGCGATTGCTGTCTGGACAGAACACAAGCTACTGTGCCCCGCCCCTCCAGCACTTCCATTTTGCTCTGATCTGAGTCCAATTTGCAATATCAAAATGGAGGCCTGTACTGGCTGCAAGGGAGGGTGGAAGGACTCAGCCTTCTGAATCCCACACCAAGGCCACAAGACCTTGGAGCTGGGACTCTTGATAACCATACAGCCCCTCGGGAAGTCCAGGACAGTGTCCTTGGGAAGATACTTTGCTTTTTCCAACAGAATATTCTGGTTCAAACAGCCACTGATGGTACAACAAGCTACTTTGCTGTCCGAACCCAAGTAGTATGTCTTCTTGGAGAAGGAAATAACCTTCAAATAACCAATGGCCTCTTACTGAGTTATTTGCAGATGCTTTCCCTCCAAGAACACATGCTGCCCACACTATCCACCCCCCCACAGGTAATTAGAAAAACTGTGATCCAGGTCATTATGTCCTTTGCAGTACAGAGGAAACTGAAGATCACACTTTATTTTTATGTACCTTTTATTGTAATCTCTGGAATGGGTTATTCAATCCATTGATCACTTTTTGTCCTGGAAGTTCATCTAAATCATGGGTGCTCAAACTATGGCCTGCGGGACGGATCCGGCCTGCCATGGCCATCCATGCTCGGAGATGGTTTTGGACTCGCTGGGAGATCTCCGAGCAAGCGAGCAAGCCACTGCCTCGCATACGCCTTACGGCACCTCACCAGCCCGCACCCCCAGGCACCCCCACCTCACCAGCCAACGGTCACCACAGCCTTTCAACTGGCCCCCTATTCAAAAAGTTTGAGGACCCCTGATCTAAATGTTACCTTCTTTTTCCTTTGTTGCAAATATACATGTATTCTTCAGAGGACTTAGAATTAAAATTAGCTATTTTTTGCTCAGAACAAAGAGAATAGGAGGTAAAATTTTATAAGATGAAATTAAGCTTATTTTTTCCATGTCTATCAAAAGACTATCTGCAGTTTTTAATGTGACTTCTGTACATTAACAGATGCATCCATTCTGCTGCGTGGTTGGCTAACTAAATCAATTTAAAGACAGAGAGCCCCAGAATTGGCTACAACTTCCTGCTATGTGTCCATTTGGTGGCAAAGCAGATGCTGCTGCTACATCAAGCATGAAAAGGCTTCTTCAGAGCAGTAGTGGTACTAAACTGCTAAGCATGTCATGCCCCATAAACACCAGGTGCTTTGTATTAGAAATGCCCTCCACTCCTCAAACTATTAATTATCCACCCTCTAATCTTCATCAAGGCCACAGATGCAAGATGGCATCCCATACACTGCAACACTTAAATTAGAAGAACTATCAACCTGTGCAAAATAAATATGTACAGTATTATTGTGATTTAACATCACTGCTCTACCTATGGCAAGTGCACTGAAGAGGAAGGAGAGTTGATCCAACTACCAAGCCTCTCTCATGGGAAGATCACAGCAACTAATGTGGTAACAAATCTCTGTAAAATTACCCTCAACAATACACTCAGAAGATACACCAATGATAAATCCATACCAAAGAACTAATCTGGAAGAATAAACATATCTACTTAACTTTTTAAATGGTTCTCTAACAATATCATCTCAGAGATGGGATAATCGGGCAAGGAGTTCAAAAGGTGCGGAACTACCACTGAAAATATTCTGCTTAATGCTGGGGAAGAAAGTACAAAGAGGCTGGAAACAAACAGGCAACCAGAACAATGGGTAGAGAATGAAACTTTAAGAATCCTACCTACCAAGAGGTACTAAAGTGAACTACTATGTTTGTTTGGGATCCACAGGCGATAACAAGTCTATCTTCTGCCCACTCCTATGTCAAGCTAAGCATTTTAGAGTTCTTGATACAACACACAGCCAACCCATTGTGTTTCCCCTGAAACCTAATTCAAATTTAATCGAGCCAGGCCTGAACATGTCATCTGTGCTCCAACTACCATTACCCCCAACTAGCTGGATCACCCGCCATGATGGTTTGGGTTGATGTGTAGTCCAACACATGCAAAGGGCACCAGATGGGAAAACACTGACATAAATTAGGAGACAGTGCCTTTAGGCTTAAGCAGAATGCCCAGCTCTCACAATACGATAAATCCCACACACACCTGAGAGGTGAAGACTCAGAGCCCCAGCATCTCTTCCTTTAACATTTAAAAGGACCACTCTGCTAGCACCCCACCAACATTAAATGGCTTTAAAAGTGGGTGATGGTGCATAGGCTTAAGGGATCCGTCAAAGCTATCAGCCATGGAAATGCCAAACACAAAGACAACGCATCACTAGCATGGAGCTGTTACCATCTCACCCTGTTTCTGGGCTTCTCACTGTAGGAAACAGGATGATGGACTGGAACTATCCTTTTGAGATCTAGCAAAGAGAGATCCTCCTATGTGGTCCCTGTGATTGCCCCGGAGACATACGCAATTCTCATCCTTTCCAGAGCAGCTTTCCCCAGTCAAGCGCCCTACAGATGTGCTGGACTGCAAGTCCCATCATCCCCAGCCAGCACGGTCAGAACTGATGCAGCGCATTTCCCCCCTCCTGACTCGTGTAAATTCTCACCACCCCGCTAGACGTCCACTTGAAGGCAAAAAATCTCATCGGGAGGGAGCGAGGGGCGGGCGCCTACCTGCACCTCTTCTTGCGTTACGCGCTGCATGGCGCCGGACGCGAGAGGGGCCGCCGGGGCCGCCAACACAGCCGCGGCGAGCCCGAGCTGGGGCCGGGAGGCTGCCGCAAGAAGCCCAGCCTGGACAGGTCAGCCTCAGCGCGGACTGCTTCTCCTTTCGCTTTCGCTTCGGCCTAATGCGAAAGTGGTGCGGGCAGCCACGTCGGCCTTCTTATCCCCTTTCGGGGGAGGCAGGGCGGAAGAAAGGACATGCGCCCTCTCACAAGCAGGTCGCAGCCCAGTTTGGGACCCGTTCTCGCTCTGGGAAGGGAAGGCGTTTCCCACAAGTAGCCCACCACCCCCGAAATGTACGTTGCCTTGCCAGTACCCTCGCAATTCACCCCGCCAATTATTGTATAGCGCTTATATCTCGTTTCCCCCTTTGCACTTGCACGGTCCTCCCCACTCCATTTCATCCTCACAACAACCCTGTGAGGTGGGCCAGGCTGAGAGGGAGGACTGGCCCAAGGTCAGTCACCCACGGAGCTTCATAGTCCAGCAGGGGCTGCCACCCAGATCGCCCAGCCCTCTCACCGGAGGACCACAGTGGCTCCTAAAGGGAGCGCGCTGCGCTGCTCGCCCACAAAGAGCGCACCAACATCCACCCTGTGCGAAGCTGCCTCTCCGTTCCTGGAAAGCTACACGCGCCGGATTTTGGGGCTGTTAAGGGCTCAAGGAACCCTCCGCTGCTTCACACCAGACTTGCTCAGCAAGGCGCTTGCCTTCCAGCCATCGTTATCGCCTTTCATCTCCGCAGCCCTGTCTGCTTGCAAATGTGCTTATCCGTTCTTATCTGGATTATTTTGTTTGCTTTTGCAGGTATCTTTCATGATATACAGCATTTCACGATAAATAAATTATTCAGAGGATCTCAGCAGGTATTTTCCCGCTCTGGCCTGCCCCTCCCCGTTTATCCTCGCATCAACCGAGTGAGAGAGACTGGGCAGTGCTGCCTAGTGAGCTTCACAGCAGAGTGAGGATTTGAGCCAAGGCCTCTCATTCTATTGGTGCCACTACGCTGGCTCCTCCATCATTTCAGGTTTATGACAAACCCTAAAAGCAGCATTCCCAGTACGCATCCTTGCAGGGTCCTTTGTGCTTGGTCCAAGCTACCCCTGGTGCAGAGTAAGGCCACGGTACTGATGGGGCAGCTGCTTGCATGCATCTATTCTGATGCTGAAGTAACTCCACTGGTTGGCTCTTTGCTACCAAGCCACAAATGTTGTTGGTATGTATATAGAAGACCACCATGACAGAGTGCTGGACAAGGGCTCTGGAAATCTGGGTTCCAGTCCCCACTCAGGCATGAAGCTGAATAGGTAGCCTTAGGCCAGTCAGTGAGTCTCAGTATAACCTACCTCACAGGGTTGTTGTAAGGATAAAATAGAGAGGAGGAAGATTATGTAAGCCACTGTGGGTTCCTCGCAGGAAAAAAAAAGGTGGGATATAAATTACAATAAATTATAATGTTCAGAACAACTTGGCACCTGGCTACCTGTTGGATTGCCTTCCCCAGTATATGCTCATTTGATTGCTAAATTAATCGAAGGGGTCTTTGCTGCTTGTACTATCATCTGCAGATTCCCGTCTTTTTACTATCTCTGAGCCTTCTCTGGGGTACAGTTAGCACTGGCCCAAAGCATCTCACCTCCTGAAGTGAGAAGATGTACTGCAGTCACCTGGAGCTGCTGCTTCCCGTTTCACTGGGGGAGGAAAAAAGCATCCTTTGTGCAGGGGTTTTCCAGGGTCCTTCTATGTATTCAATTAACCAACAACAAGGTGGCATTGTGGTACAGCTGCCACATACCAGATTTGCAGCCATACATTAAGCTTTTGTTATGGTTTCTAATGATTTAAATAAAATTTAGTTCCAGATTAGCCTCCAAAAAGAAAGAAAGAAAGAAAGAAAGAAAGAAAGAAAGAAAGAAAGAAAGAAAGAAAACCTCAAAAGGGGCTGGAAAAAATGAGAGAGGCTCCAAAATGCCCCACAAATTTCCATGAATGAGGAATCACGAGAGCACAGTAAATGCCTGGAGTAGAAAAGCCCTTGGTGTTTCCAGATGAAGCATTTATTGTGAAATCACACTGGTCTATTTACAGCATCATATAGGATATTTCAGACGATCTTGTGTTCCATTTCTGACCCTCCTGTATTTTCCTGCCATTTCCTCCTCCTGTTTTCTTCCCATAAAATAATCTGCTAGGCTGTCTAGCTGGAAGAACCCATGTCTTGAACAGAAAAAATGGAGAGTTGGCTGAGTTATATGTTGAACGGGCAAAGTGACCAGATGTAGCCAGCAGAAGGCAGTGTTACTTCCAAGTTAAACTTTCCCTGACCTGTTGATATCTTAAAGAGTGCATATTTTTCCTGAAATAGGGGTACTTGACAGAGGGAAGCTTTCACACCATGACCCTTTAGTGTTTCCATGCAATATTCCCTGTTGCAAACTGACTTAATTCCTCTGTGTTCCTTACACAATTATCAGCGCACTCTTGCTTGCTGGACGGAGCAACGCTATGGCTGCTGGGTCAGTGTTCCAGGGACCATAGGGCTGCTTGGCTTGCCTCTTCTGACCATCCTCTCCCACCTCCTTGCAGGTAGCACTGAAAGAACTATGCTGGTGGCCCTCTGAGCCTGGACAGGCAGCTTGCAGGAGGATTTTCCAGGGGATAGGATGAGAAGATGAAAAGGCCAAGAAATGCATTATCCTGAGCCTCCTTCCCTCCCCCTCCAGACTTCCCTTGTTGGTTGGGCTCAAAAGATGGTCTATCAAAAGCTGCAGGGTAGAAGGATGGAGAGGCAAAGATGATGGCTACTGCTCTTTCTGCCTGGCACTGGATGATCAGAGGCCTTCAAATTCAGAGGCTTTTGAGCACCAAGGGCCTAATCAATAGGCTTCATTAATTTCCTGCAACTCTTGTCCCTGTAGAAAGAGCAGTCAATACTAACAGGCAGTCTCTTGCAACTCCTCCCTCAAAACCAGCCCTACGCCTGGTAAAATATGTGTGAGTGATCATCTACAATAAGGACTGTTTAACCCTGTAGAGTGCTACAACAGGGTTCTGTCTTGACATGCCAGCCCAATCACACACAAAAAGGGAGTAAGAGTAAAAAAGATTTATTTTGCAAAATAACAGTTCCCTGCACCCCACGGTTGCAGAAAACCCCATTCAAACTTTTTGCATCACTTTCACATCACTCTTTCCCATACAAAGGATGTCCCAAGCTCAATTTTGGTTGGTTATAATTTGCTGCATTACAGGTCTTATTACACCTGCTCACAACTGTTTCTACCAATTAATATTTGCTGAAGCTCGTACCTTTATCAGTTAAAACTATGCTTGTTATTTGGAGTTTCTTATTATCTCAGCCTCTCTTGTTACCTCAGTAGGTGTCCTGTGCTGGGAAAATTTAGATAAATTCTGGCAGAAAAATGTTGCTTATATGTGCCTTTATGTTATAAAATCAAACCTGCACTCTTTCTCAAAAGCACTGGCTTTTCAAGCCAAGTCACTGTTTAATATTGCTGTTACCTTAAGAAAATGGCATTCTTAGCTAGTCTGAGAAGCCTCACTAAAGGAAATACCTGTGTAGAAAAACTGAAATAATGCTGTTAATTTGTTTCTGAATAGGCCCACCTAAACAGAGGCAAGCTCCTCATGGGTTTAAATTGCCAAACCAGACTTCCTAAATGCTTCCTCCATCAGACATATTTGCATGTATAAACAGACTGAGGCTGACCTGAACTGACAAGAATTTGCTAGACTGACCTATCAATACAGCAATCAGTAATGGTTTTCCATACTATTAACATTATTTCTGATCAGTTTAGAACATTATGTCTTGCCTAAAAACATCAGGAGGCTATTGTACTAAGATTATCTGGAAACTTGACACTCTATATTGGTGTATGTGACTAGCAGGTTATAAAATGCTCTGAACATGTATTGAAAACTTGGAGTTGAGTTTCCCTCTGCCCAGTAACGCATTATCATTAGCTGACTGCAGGTATCCTGGGGCTCCAGACATTAAAGCAGCAAAGGTTCAAACATTTGATTTTTCCCTCAAACCCAAGCTTTTATTTCCTCCTCACAAATTGAAAACTGAGATTCTGTCACCTGCATGCCTGAAGGTTATGGCTGCTTAGGCCTATCCAGAAATCAACCTGTGTCTCCTTCATACTTATAGGTATAAAGAAGAGTCTTGCTGGATCCTCCAGAGAGGGAATTCTATAACTGAGATGCCACTAGAGCACTACAGAAAAGGTCCTGTCCTGCTCATACTCATTGAACATGTCTGACTGAAAATAGCCAGAATTTAGAATTTTGAATGTTGGGTTAGGTTCAAATGGAGCACGTTAGACTAGTTAATACCTGGATCCTCGCAGGAGTGAGCAACTTAAGACCCTCTGGTTGTTTTGACCTACAGTTCCCATGAACCCTAGCTAGCATAGCCAATGGTGAGCCAAAGCTTCTCCGAAGCCACAAATGGTACACCAGATTTAGGGCTTGAAAGGTAAACAACAGATTCCTGTAACTGGTGCTTCTACCAGCTTCATGATGGCCAATAAGCCTATGAGCAAATAGCTACCTGAGTTTTCATCTGTTTACATGGAAACATGCTTTAATATTCATACTGAAAACATTGCATAATTTAAGTGGTGATACGACATTCATCAATTTGCAAGGAAGCCCCATTGAATTTAGTGGGACTTCTGAGTAAACCCATATAGGACTGTGCTGTTAATTTGATTGTAATGTAAGTCACTATGTCAACCTATCCTTTAAAACACTTTTTTGGCACCATCTCTCTTCTACTGGGCAAGTGCCTCAATTTTCCTCATCCCTTGCTCTCCACTTTCTTTCTGAATGATTCTCAGACTGGAATTCTGAGAGTTACCGCACCCCATCTGCAGCTATTTATGAACAAGACAAACTGCCTGCACGGTTGGGCATACCCTGCCCAGTGGATAAAAGCATTGCCTTAGATGGGAAATGAGATGGATTTTGCTGTAGGCTGCTACCAAAAGAAAATTTGTTAATTTAAAGATTGTGAGGAAGAAGTAAAATGTTCCTGAAATGCATTTGAAATAAGCAAACCCTAACCCTACCACCTCCTTCTTTCTTGGGGTACTTTCAGACAATGCTTTTATTTTTTCATTGTCCTATGATAGAATATTTCTAGAATTTTTACAGGAATTCAGAAAGTGTCATTCATGTTGTGACTGTGTTTCTAACAGTTCTGTCTCTTTCTTCTCAAAAAACTGTTCAGGAAAAATTTTGATTGGTAGCACTAAGAGTCACGTGTCTGCAAGCATGCAAGTAAATAAAGATGAACTTTTGTGCACCACTTCAGCAGTATAAATGTTAATTATTTTAACCTAGTTTAGCACTAACTAGTTCTACCAAATGCTTTGCTACAATGTTGTTCCTCTGCTCTTACTGTAGAACTACAATACTAGGAAGGCCTAAAAGTTAAAACAGGTTAACAATGATAATACAGAAAGTAAGCCATTTGGTTATTTCCATTTACAGGTAGATAAATGAAATCTATGAACCATTTTTTTTCTGCACCTGTTTACAGAGAAAGATCTAACAGGGAAGACTGGCCAGCTCCCCTGGGAACTATCATCCTTTCCCAGACTATTTGACTTTCAGGGATTTTTGAAAAAATATTCATAGTTGGTTCTTAGCCAAGTAAACCTAGGCCTTTGGTTTAAGGGTGGACAACCTGAATGCATGAAAAAGCTCTCTGCACACAAACAATTAAAACCTTGGACAAGAGCAAGGTTATGTCCTGGCAGCCCACTATATGAGAAGAGAGAAAAGAGTTGACCCACTCGGGACTTGTGCACCACTGACTTTTCCCCTGCTCTCTACTAATATGTAGCTCTTTAAAGGTTAGTTTTATTAACATATATTCAATGCTTTTTTGTTAACAGACAGCATATAGCCATTTAAAACAATACAACCATAAAACGGTAAAAACAAGGATATTAAAAAATACAACAAAAACATTAGAGCTACTACATCATTTGAAAATCTAGCTTAAAAAGATGTGTCATCACATTCTGCCTTAAAGCTGGAAACATTCTCTGTAATGGAAAAAGATTACTACACTTAGTTTAAGACATCCCTTATTGCATTGTTCCACACTGCCCAGTTCACATCCTTTTTCCAAGCAGGCAACACAAAAAAGAAGAAACAAAAAGCAAAGACAATGTTATATTTCGCTCAAAGGCTAAACCACGGGAATAAAAGCTGCATATCTTTTTAGGTCCCCATTCCCAGTTTCAAGTTCCAAGACCAACGTTACCTCCCCCACTCCCCCTCCTCCTGTTTCAAATGAGAAGAGGTAATAAATCAAGCCAGAGAAACTTCTCCACCCTGATGCCCCTTAGATACTTCGTACATTGGAACTCCCATGGAAGTTGCAGTCCAAAGCATCAGGACGGTATCAGGTGGGAGAAGGTCGAGCTAAATTGAGACGTCACCAGTCCGAGAACACCTTTTCACTTCTCGCGAGATCCTTCTCCCGGTGATAAGAACGCACGGGACACTCTCACCCATTTTGCTTAGCTGATACGATGCCCCTCCCACCCCAACCGATCCTTTCGCCAACTCCGGCGAGCGGGTTTTCCTTCCAGTTCTCGCGAGACCTCAAGAAGCGTCTACTTTGGAAAGCAACATGGCGGCACTCGCCGGATCTCCGTCCGCCTCTCTGCCTTCCTTGGCGACGGCCGCCCCGAGTCCGGCCCCGCCGCCGCTTCTTGGCCCGCCTGGCTACCGGCCTTTCGAGCCCGAAGCGCTGGGGCTTAGCCCGGGCTGGAGGCTCACCAGCTACGGAGAGCTGCGGGGCTGAGGCTGCAAAGTCCCCCAGGAGACGCTGCTCAGACTCCTGGAGGGACTCGGCGGCCCACCTTCCGGATTGGCCGGAGCAGGGGAGGCGGCTGCGGCTGTAGCCGCTGGAAGCCCCGCTCCTACCATTGGTGAGACTAAGTGGGGATAGGGTCCCGGGGCTGAAAGGGATGAAGAAGGAGGAGCATTCACTGAGTGTCTCTAATTTAGAAATTGCGGAACGTGCCTGCCCTGCGTGGAAATGAGCTGGAATTGGGTGACTTTCTAAGATCCGTGTCTGTGACCTGCCACAGGTGTAGAATCGACTGCATTACTTGCAGGTTGTGGGTCTTGTGGGGCCATATTTTTGAATCCCTCCTTTGTAAAAAATAAAAAAATAAAAAAATCCAACAACTCAATGCTTCTTGTCTATCCAAGGAAAATATGCTGAATTTATCTGGCTTATATGGGCCTTTTAAAAAAATAAAGGGGTAGTGATCTTGGGTAGTATTAACACACTGAGCTACAAATTAGAAATGGCATTTGTCATACACTCCATTTAGCCTTTGGTGAGCTGCAGTTGTACAGTATTCTCTAACCTAACTCGTTGCATTAATGCATGATGAAATTATGACCTTCAGCTTTAAAGAACCACATATGTATGGATTCATTTACAAATGTGATCTCTTCCTGCAGTCCATTCTGGCATGTTGGAACCTTATCACCTTATTCCCTGTTTTACCACATTTGTAGATCCTTTGTAGTTCCTTGGGGTAGAAATGCTTTTTAGAGGCACTCCAATGCTTGTGGTCCCTCTTCTCTGTAGGCATTGGAATGGATTCCTGTGTGATCCCCTTGAGACACGGAGGTCTCTCCCTTGTACAGACGACAGACTTCTTTTATCCACTGGTGGAGGACCCTTATATGATGGTGAGCAGGGGCTACTTGCAGAAAGTGGTTGGGTTGATAGATGGGACTGAGTTGTATTTAAGATGGAACATGGTACATTTGTGCTGGGAGGAGGCAGACTGATAAGGATGATTGCCTTGTGTGTCACCTTCCTCAATTGTCTGTTGCTGCATGTGCCTGATTTAGGGTCGCATTGCCTGTGCCAATGTGCTCAGTGACCTCTACGCTATGGGCATCACAGAGTGTGACAACATGCTTATGCTGCTGAGTGTGAGCCAGAAAATGACTGATGAGGTGAGAAGCAGAAATTATAATACTACATTTTGAAAAAGCTGTTTAAGTACTGCCAAAAATTGATTTTTGTGCACCATATATATGGCATTTTGTATGTAATTGCAACACGGAGGGGTTGCAGTAAAGGAAACTCTGTGTTTGGCTCTACCTGCTGAGCCAGAAGCTTCTAATTCAAGGCTGGATTTAGCCGGGGAAGTGTAAGCACTCCTGAATCAGTAGTACTCCTGAATTTCTTAAGAGAGGTACAACAGATGTATTAAATGCAGAGTTAACCTTACTTATCATAACTTGGTTTGATATCTGATTTAAGTCTGAAACAACACTTCAAAGAGCTAGTGCTTTGCTGACCCTCTTTTCCTATGAAACATGCAGGCAGGAAATTCCTTTTGATATCCCATCTGGAGTCAAATGATTGCAGACAGTTCCATGAGTTCTTTATTGTATATTTCCCTCAGGAGCGGGACAAAATCATGCCACTGATAATTAAGGGCTTCCGGGATTCAGCAGAAGATGGTGGCACTTCAGTAACTGGTGGACAGACAGTCTTAAATCCTTGGATTATTGTTGGAGGAGTTGCAACAGTTGTATGTCAGCCCAATGAATTCATTATGTGAGTACTGAAATCTCATAAGTAGGAGTGCATGCAGAAGAGATAATATATTACAGTGCTTTGCATTGCGGAGGATCATTCAGACTCAAAACCCAAATGCAATTTTTAGAACACCTTTATTTAGGTAAAATGAAGTTCAGTTCAGCTTGTTCACACTTGACGCATTAATTCAGATGGCTACCAGTGCTGAAGTGGCAGGGCCTGGTGGTCAGCCAGATGGTATACGCAAAAGCAGGTGGTGTGCTATGCACTGCTACTGCTTTGCTATTCAGGCCTTAGTTTTGTTGTTTGTAGTGTACCTTAAGTGTTCTTGCTCCCAAATCTCTGCATGATGAAGATAAGGTATGTTTTTCAAAATCTCCAGGTTGTACATTTATTGAATTTATCTTATATCTTGGTAATATTCTTTTTGATCATGCAATTCTGCAATTACACAGATATTGCTTCTGTTTCAGAGTTTATTTTATGTATATTTTCCCCAGTTTTTCCTCCTTTTTCATCAGATAACTTTGCACATTGTTAATTTTCTTTCATTCAACCCTCAGGAGTTCTTTCATCAAAAAAGAGGCCAATATCTAATTCTATGTGAAAGGAAAAGAGTTTTCAACCTGGTAAAACACTGTTGCAACAAGATATAATTTTGGCTTTGGTCAAATTACAACTATTATCCAATAATTTAATCTTTAGACTGCTTTATTCTCTGTAACTTCCTTTTATGCTGTTGTTAAATTGAGTAATATTGCGACTGATTTTACAGTTCGATAAAAAGTAACACTATTTAGATTTAAGTCACCCTGAGAACTTCATTATATGGTAGCCTAGAAATACTGTAAGTAGGTGAATAATTAAGATGATCTGAGCATTGGTTTCCTCTTCCCTTTTATTCTAGGCCAGACAGTGCAATTCCAGGGGATGTGCTTGTGCTCACCAAGCCACTGGGGACTCAGGTAGCTGTGAATGCGCACCAGTGGCTAGATAACGTAAGTGTTCATTTGTGGGAAAACTTTGCTGCCCCTTTGTGTTCACTGAATATTGCCTAGAGTGGGGAGATTCCTGTGTATATATGCAAAAGAAAAATGCTGTGTATATGCTGTCACTGTAGTAGGCCTACGATTGGTGCAGGCCTCAGCCTGTTAGGCTAGTATAGAATATTGTGAACCTTGTGGGAGGAATCATCTGTCTGAAGGGTGAACAGTAAGTATGTACACAAGAAATTTTATGATGTAGTAGCAAGGTCATCTTGCATCAAATGGTGGAGTTGTTCCTTTGAAATATTACTATAGTGCACTATACTGACTTGATGTTGGTGGTAAGTCCTTGGATTTGTGAGCAAGAACGGGTTTTTTTAATCTTCTGTTTCTGTTCCAGCCAGAGCGATGGAATAAGATTAAACTGGTAGTTTCCAGAGAAGATGTTGAACTGGCTTACCAGGAAGCTATGTTTAGTATGGCCATGCTGAACAGGACAGGTAGGATTCCTTTTGGGCTGTGAGTCTTCACCTGTACTCGCTTTGCAATATTGATGCACAAAATATTGATGCTGCTATTGATGTTATCCATGTTTTTTTTTAAATGAGTTGAAATGCAGATAGGTGTATTCTATTGCTCTGAGCATTTTTTAAAGAGAAAAGATAGAATGTTTTTAACAAAAAAAACCCTGTCAGATCACACTCTAAAATACTTTTGAAGATTTTCAGATCATTTATGTTCCAGGGGACTCTTTAAAGGAAAATTACACTGAACTGAATATTCTAATTGTTTCAAATCTTATCTCTGTGTTGTTCTTTGAGAAGAGAAACATGTTGTAAAATGTGGATGACAACAGTCAATTTCTCTTAGCTCATGGAATAGAGCTGGCTTGTTTTTTACAGACAACACATATTCCTACAAAAAGCTATTGCTAGCATGAATGTCATGAAGCTCAAGTGTTTTAAATTCTGTTGCAGGGTAACTGTATCATCTGCACTGAAATTTCATTGTCTGTTACCGAAATCAGCTTTAACCACGAACCTGGCTGGAAAGGGTCATTTGTAATCATATCTGAGATTGTAGAATTAGTGTCAGCTATATAGTAAGAATGACTGCAGGTGGCACAGTGGTTTAAACTGCTGAGCTGCTGGGCTGGTTGATCAAAAGGTTGACAGTTCAAATCCGTGCAAGGGGGTGTGCTCTCGTTGAATTGTCCCAGCTGCTACCAACCTTGTAGTTCAAAAGCATACAAGTGCAAGTAGATAAAAAGGTACCACTTTGGTGGAAAGATAACAGGTGTTTAGTCACGCAGGCCACGTGACCACAGAAACTGTCTGCAGACTTGACTAGGAAATGGAGATGAGCACCGCCCCCTAGAGTCAGACATGACTGGACTTACCATCAAGGGGGAAACCTTTACCTTTACCTTTTTATATAGTAAGAACTGGCATATTCAATTTGATAGCCTTTAGCAGCACCAAATGTGGCATTTACTTGACAGCATGTAGATTAATGTGTGCTCTGATTGGGGACTCCCAGGCCAGTTATATTTCTCTTTCCTTGAAAGCCTTCTATTATCTGTGGTACGGAGATGCCAGAAGTAGAGTGCTTTAAAGAAGTATTCATCCTCACCCCCCTTTTGACTTTTCTATATTTTGTTGTGCTGCAACCTGGAATTGAAATTAATCTTGACATTTTTATGACTGGATGTACCAGCTCTGCCAGGTTGTCTGGGAACCATTGGTGTACAGCAGTTTTAAGTCTTGCCACAGATTCTCAGTAGGCCATTCAGGGTCTTGTTTTAAGCTACTCCAGTGTTTATTTGGCTGTGTGCTTAGCATCATTGCCCTGCTGGAAGGTGAACCCCCACCAGAGCCCTAGATCCCTTGCAAACTGAATTGGTTTTGTCTGGTGACATCTATATTTGGTGTCATCCTTCTTGCCCTCAATCCTGATCTGTTTCCCAGTCCCTGGCAAGAAAAGCATTCCCACAGTATCCTTCTGCCTCCATGAGGATGGTGTTCAGAGAGCATTGAGCCCTGTGGACTTTATGCCACACATTTTGCAAAAAAGGCCAAAACAACCCTTTTCCACATGTTTGCTGTTGTGTCCCATGTGCTATTTGCAAAATCAAAACAGACCTTGATATGGGTTTGTTTTGGCAATGGCTTCTCTCCACTCTTCCAGAAGGCCTAGCTTGGAATATCCAGGTGACAGTTGAATGGTTTCTCCCATCACAGCTACAGAGCTATTTAGCTCTTTCAGAGCTGCCAATAGCCTCTGGGTTGCTTCTCTGACTAATGCCCTCCTTACCCAGTCACTGAAGTTTGTTGACTGGCCTTCTCTACGGAGAGTTGCTATTGAGACACATTATTTTCTGTATTGTAACAATAGATTCAATAGTGCTTTGGGGGATGTTTATTCTTAGGGCTGCACAAAAATGTTCTCAAACTGGTGCTTCTATACAACTGTGAGTTCCTTTGATAACTCCTTGGTTGTCATGATGCTGTTTAAAAAGTACTCTCCATCAAATTCTGGAGCTTTCCAGAAGTAAGTGTTTAATCTGAGAACCTGTGGCACTGGAATTATATACAGATTCTGGTCAATTAATTACACTGACTTATGGAGGGAGGGAACTGCACCAGAGCTTATTTATGCATGTCACAGCAAAGGGAATGAATATCTATACAACCAATAAATGCCAATTTGTTTTTGTTTACATAAGCTTTGTGCCACAATAAAAATACTTTGTTCCTTCACAGTGTTAAATGGGTATGAGTACTTCTGCAAAGCATGGTATATAATTCTTTATCTTACAAGTAAGGTGAAAGGCTGCATCCATACAGTTGCCACCAACTTCCAGGATAAGCCAGTACAGATAAAGGAGGGGGACAGTAATTAGCTAATAAATGCTGTGCACAGGCTTATCTGCTGGTCTGTTAATACTTGTGCCTCTAAATTTCTTCTTGTCCTACAGCTGCCAGTTTGATGCACACCTTTAATGCTCATGCTGCCACAGATATAACAGGCTTTGGGATTCTGGGCCATGCACAGAACCTAGCCAAGCAGCAGCGCAGTGAGGTGTCATTCGTCATCCATAATCTGCCTATCATTGCCAAGATGGCTGCTATCAGCAAAGCATGTGGTAACCGATCTAGGCTCCTACAAGGGACATCCCCAGAGACATCTGGTAAGATAGCCTAAGCCAGGCAAGCAGAAAGTAGGTTGGATCACTGGGTAATTAGTTGTCTTCTCCCTTCTCATCCCCACCCATGTTGATGAAATGAGGAAAGCTTTAAATAACCAGGAATTGATTTTTGTATGGAAGGACTCTTTAGTCCTCTTTAGAATATGTTAAGTACTCTTTAACTGTGTGCCTTTTGTTGCTAGTCTCCACTTGTAGACTGTAGGGTTTCAATTTAAATAGTAGCCTACAAGGTGTTGGCTGGTTCTAGGCTATAGTTGTAGCAGGGAGTTTTAAGGAGTTGAATGACCTGAATTTATTCTCTTTATGTGGCAGGGGGTCTACTAATCTGCTTACCCCGGGAACAAGCTGCCCGCTTCTGTGCCGAGATAAAATCTCCTAAATATGGAGAAGGACACCAAGCTTGGATCATTGGTATTGTGGAAAAAGGCAACCAGACAGCTCGGATCATCGACAAGCCTCGTATTATTGAAGTGACACCCCGTGGGGCCAGTGCTTCCCCTCAGGATAACAATTCCAGTGCCAGCCCTGAAGCTGCTTCATGAGGCGGCAAAATGGCGTTCTTCTATCCACTGTAGAGTCTGGAATTGAAAATAGTGACACTGAGGCTCTGGATCAGCGCACATGCCTTCTTTAGCACAAAAATCCCCCTGAATATTGTCTCCTTACTGGTTGGTGGCCCCTGCTTCTAATGTAATTGGTTTCAAAGCCATTTCCTGCAAACAGGTACATTGCTGGCACTGTTGATTTGAAGATGGTAACTTGAATTATTTATTCAAATAGTTCTACCTGTTCTTGAGCTCTCCCAGCTTTTGGTCAGACTGAGCAGCTGGCTCAAAAGGAGGGTGGGTGATTTAAAAAGCCATTTGGCTGGGCCAGAAGTCTCTCCTCTCTTCATGAAGCACCTCCTTTAAATCCCACTTGTGGGCTTGGAGGAGCAGAGGAATCCTAGAGGAGCAGCACCAAGCTCAGCTTCATGGATTGTTCCCTGGATTGTAAATTATTGGTGATTTGAGTTAATAAACAAGCTGATTTCTATTGCTAGTGTGGGACTTGGAAGGGTGATGTTGCTTGCAGAGTTAATATGGAAGGAAGGTGCCTGTTATAAGTAGGGAAGTAATTGCTTATCTTAAACTTTGCTTTAATTGACTTACTATAATCTAGAGTCATACAGTGGCTCTTCATGCTGTAGGATTGATAACTAATCACAACAAGCATTTTCCACTGGCAGCAGTTCTTAAAAAGCAGAAGAAAAAATGTCCCCCCCCCTTCTGTGTTATGTATGATCTACCTCATCACAGCTTGACTGAGGAAATGTTTAAGGCACAGTTTGAACAACCTGAAGTTTTCCTACAAAGCACATAACAAGCAAGAATGAGCAGTCTTCATAGAGAAAGGGAAATTCTTCTTACCACCCCTGAAAGGAGACCTACTGAGAACTGAGTAACCACCTGTACTACACAGGTGGCCCATCCCACATATGCCTTGTATACAGTAGAACGAACACTTAAGATTGTTTCACACAAATCCAGAATAGTGCAAACCCCTTTCCCTGTGGCTATGGTAGTCAGGACATGTTGAAGAACAACAGCTGGCTTAACCATTCTCAGAAGGAAAAAAGTTAATGACAAACATGTAGGGAGCAAAAAGTCCATGATCTTTGCTCCAAGGTCAACTCTTAACAACAGAACTGCTGGCTCTGTTTAAGGCAAGATAGTAAAAGCACATCACAGCCTGGAACTTGCTCCTTCTGTCTGTGTCACTGGATACAATCCATGACATGGATTTGCAATGTGTCCATGTCTGGAGCTCTGTACTGGCACTTGGGGCAGCAGTAGTATGGCTGTTCTTCAGCAATGCTTTGTCTTCGCCCTGGCATAAGTTGGGGAAGGAATGGTGCAGCACCCATCCGGAAACCTAGAAGGATAAGGAAAAACACATTACTTAACAAGCTGAACTCAAGGTGCTGTTCCATACTTACACACTACTAGTGCTGTAGCAGCTTAAGTTTATTATACTTCTGTACTATCCAATAACCAGAGCTCTCTGGGTAACTCAAATTTTAGAATTTATGGCACATTTTATTTTCAAAGTTAAACTACAATATAAAATAGAAAGGTGCCGAAGTGAAACAAACCAGCACTACAAATATTTAAAATACGTAAAAGATTTAAAACAGACTAATATTCCTGGGCTGGTCTTTACCTGGCACTGGAAAGAGTACAGTGTAGGTACCAGGCAAGCTTTTCTGGCACTTCATTTCACATAACAGAAAAGGCCCTCTTTTGGCAGAGGCTCCCACAGAAAGACAGGCTTCAGGACCAGGCAAGTATAGATGCTGTTCAGGGTTTTGAATGTTAATTCTAGCTTTCTGAATTGGGCCTGGACATGGACTAGCAGCCAGCACTGATACTGGTGGAGAATCAGCATAGCTTTTATAAAGGGAAATTCTACTCCCCGCCTCCTTTCAGTCTGTGAAGAATGTGAAAAGGGGCAATCTTGTAGATAGCATATACCTAAGATTTCTACAGAGCTTTTAAATTACAATATAAAAGATGATCTTAGACCACCTTTCCCAATCCAGTGCTCTCCAGATGCTTTGGCCATCCTCACTCAGGCTGAAAAGAAGCCAGTTGTTAGGACTGCTGGCTACCACAATCCAAAATAGCTGGCAGCCACTACATAGATAATGCAGCTCTTAAGGATATTAACTGGGTAACCACAGCAAGCAGAGGGCGAGACTAAATGGAGCGGCTGTAATGTGGAGAAGTGAGCAAAAGGCTGCTGCAAATAACTTACATTTTCAGTTGCCTCTAACTGAATTGAAATCAGAGGTATGCTGGGTTTTAAGATTGTAAAAACATTCCGTCTACAAAAGTATCTACACATTAGACAAATATACAGAGTGATAAGATCCCATAAATGTATACATTGCACGTTAAATAAATCTGGCACAGAGCCAGAAGAAAGTACTTCATGTAACATTAAACTGATGGATTTTCACCATCATGAACTACTGTGATGATCACTGGCTTAATTGACAGGCTATATCAAAGGCTGTTCACCATAATGACTATATGATGTGGTACTCTACAGAGTATCAATTGTGGAAGGGAACTGTGAAGGAATCTGGCAGTCCTTGTCAACAAAGCTGAAGGGCAGCAAGTTGGGAAAGGTTGGTCTTGAGTCATTCCTTGAAATGTTAGCCATAGATCCTTGGCTAAAACAGGTGGTTTTAGAGCCTGTAATCCTGATAAATGTGTCTCTCTACTAGTTCAAGCCTCTGATTCAATCTTACTACTTGAAATGATCATCCTGGGATAAGTCAGCACTGCTCCAACACTCACCTGGCTGCTGTGATGGCCGCATTTCTGAATGACGATTCCTCATTTCTTCCATAAGTGCCCTATTTGGGTAGGTAGAGAACACTGTTCAGATTGGTTTACAACACTAATACCTTCCTAATAAAAATTGCCTCTGGCTCCAGACCCACACTGCCACCTTTCCCAAGATCAAAAGGAGATAAATGCATGATCCCAACATCCGAGCTGGGATGGACCAAGGCATGCCAGGTGGGAGGAGTGTATCCATTCACCTACTTACCGGCTAGCTCCCTCAGAGTCTGCTTTCAGCTTTTCATAATCCCTCTGCAGCTGTAAATATTGTTCCTGCAGAGCTTCTCGCTGTTCATGTAGCTTTTCACGAGCCTGACGCTCTGCTAAGAAGTCTGTTTTGTAGATGTCTGCCTGAATGGGAAAGGAAGGATGGCACTCACTATTCACTCCCTTATGCTGCACTGCTCATGTATTTCCCTAGGTTGATGAAGAGACACAATGTCTCATTCCTGGCATGTTGCTAGCCTGAGAACACCCCTTGCTCCCAACTAACCTGTGCCTTGAGTACAGGCACTGTCTCCATGATAATTTTGTGTTGTTCTGCTTCTTCCTTCAGCTTGTCAATTAGCTCTTGCTTGGCCACCAGAGCCTCCTCAGCTTGCTGTAACTGCTGAGACAATTCAGCAGCCTGCAGGTCCAAGCCCTAATTTTTTTGCAGGGAAGGAGTGTGAAGAGGAGAGAGGCAATGAGACACAGTCATGACTGAGGAAATGTGATGAGACACAATAACTGCAACCCAATGTTTCCCAGCCTACATCATTCCAAGGAAGACCAAAGAGGGATTGGGTGTCCTACCCTCCAACTGCCACTCATGCACAGCATCAAGATTTTCCAAGATCAGTCATGATCTTTCTCACCTTGCTCCACTTCTCACTTTCCAGGCTGGCTTTGATATGGGTGTCATACTCCTGGAACAGCTGGTGGTAGGCCACCTGCAGTTGGGCTAGTTTCTTCCTGTTTGAGGGGGAGGATAGATTATCAGATAAGAGGTACTTGCCCCAAGCTCCGAATCCCTCGCCAGGACTGCCTTCTTTTCTGCTGGCCCTGCATCTCCCATCCCACACTCACTTCTCCTCTGTGGCACTCTGCCGCTCCAATCGCAGGGCATTTTCCAGATTTTGCACTTGCAGCCGCAACTGATCCACCTGTACACTGTGTTGTTTGGTGCGGGCTTCAGCCTCCTTTTCAAGTTGCTGCAGCCGTTCACCAGCTCCACGAACCCTGCAGAACACAGCACAAAAACCTGCTAGCCAAGATTCCAGGGTCGTAGGAATTCCCCTCCTGCTTCCCCCAGGGAGTATGTACCATGACAGCACTAGATCCAGCATTGTTTGATTCAGCAGGTTTTCTACACAACTCCTTGAATCTTCACCATCGTGCTCGGTGCCATCATCCTCTTCTGTGGCTTCACAGGGAAAGTGGGCCATTTTTGTGGCTGTGCAAGCAACTGGTGGCCTCTCTGGCCTTTCCATCACGGCTGCTTGCACTCCTGAAGAGGCAACCTGCTTACCTCTTCAGCAATGCAAGTGACTGGAGCAGAGATTTCAAAGAAACCTCCCTGGCTCCTCAGCATTTTCTTTCATAATTTCTATTATGATCTCATGGACTCCTGGCAAAATACATGGAGCAGCAGCAGTGGTCCCCAACCCACAAATGAGAACTGTTACAACTGGGGAGAAGAGAAAGCCTCGTCTCTTTGTCTCTGGACATAAGTCAAACCTGGCTCCTCTTTTTCAAGATGGGGTGCCTCCTCCAAGATCCAGAAAAGCACCACTTTTCTCATTCAAACCAGCTGACTGTATGCTGGAACTGCCTGTAAGCTTTAGGGCACCAGGTACTGTTCACACCCGGTCCCCAAACAGACAAGGGTGATCACATGACCCCTTTCGGTCTGAAGTCAAGCTGCCTGGACTCCAGCTTCCCTGTCCCACATTACAGCCCCACCTCATTGTTCCATAATGTCTGCATCACTGCAGGCAAAAAGGCCTGCCTCCAGCCACCTGCCAACAGGACAGGCAACCACACCAGCCCCCTGCCCACCTCACCTCTCCTCCAGCGCTTTCTTCTCCTGTTTGCTACTCTCCAAGAGGCTTTGGCTTTCCATCAATTCCCCAAGCAGGGAAGTCACCTGGGCCTTTACAGAAGCCTTGTCCTCTCCAAACTGCTGTAATGGGAGACAGGGAAAGGTCAGCATCTCTGATGTGGGACAGACATGAGTCGTCCTGTTTACCCTTCCTGTGCAGCTTATGGGAAGGATATCCCAGAGGAGATGTTAGGTGTGGATTTACCTCCAACTGCTTGCTCAGGGTTTCCAGCTGCTGCTGGGTCTCCTGCTCCTGGGACGCCAGGCGGGTCAGCTCCTCCAGGGTTGAGGCTAGTCTCTCACGAAGGGCTGAATTTCTGGGGAATGAGGCAATAAGACAATTTTATTGCTGACCTTCAAAAACAAACTGAAGTCCTCTATGGTGATCCATCAAGCACTACTCACATTTCATCAGTTAATAATTTCTCAACTCCTTATACCACTCAGGTTACCACCCTTTACAGTGACATTGGAGGTCATAGGGAGAACTGGCACCCTGGGACTTGCCCAATTATGCTCTGTATTCTGGTACACTATCCAGTAATACCCCAAATGTTGCTTAAACAGCTTTGAGTGTCCCCCAGCTACCCTACTGGACAGGAGCACAGCCTGGGTCATTTGCCTGCACTCCTCCCTCCTGCTCTGAAAATGTCCTGGTTCTCCTCACGGCCACAGTATCATCTTGGGGGGGGGGGGGGGGGCTCCAGGGTGCAGCGTTCCAGACCTGTGCCACATGGTCCAACCCCACAAGCCACCCTCTCTGAAAGACCATCTGTGATGGTAAACCTGTCTGCATTACACTGACTCAGACTGAAGATGGCTGCCAAAGAGTGAACATTCCTCTATGTTGAAACATCCCAGCATCTCAGACTAGCTATTTAAGAGAATTCCTGCCAAGCCTATTCCCTGACTTGCTAGCTTTTGGCGTGAAAGATTTTTCCCTTTCTTTTTAAATAGATCCATATTCAGTTGTACCTGAAGCAAGAACTGGAACAGCCGAAATACAAGTATACCATCTCAGTGACAACTAAGCTAGCTAAGAACTTATTTTCTCTTTATTTTCTTGCACTGACTGAGAACTGTTTGTAGCTCTCCAGTGAGTGCCTTGCCATTCCAAATGCTTTACCCAGTTGGCCTTTTCTCCCCATTGTCCTTCCTCATAGGCTTCCATCTTCCTCCAGCTACCACATTCTCTTTCAATAGCTATGTTTATCCAGGACTCTTCCCAATCGCTTCAGAGGCAGGGCTATGGAATTTGACCTTGGTTGGTCCCATCCTTGTTCCCCACAGCCCTGCCTCTTTCCACACAAGGGGGCTTCTACAGCACTCCTGCACTGAACCCATTTCTTTTATCATGCCAGTAGCTGGATTCATGGATTGGAAGCCAAGCCATTCTTCTGCCAGCAGAAAATACTGCTTGAAGAACATAAACTTTGCACATTCTCTTCCTCTTTGCAACTCCCCACATCCTCCTAAGCTGCTCTGGAGGGAGCACTGGATGGGACTGGGAAGAAAGGATGCCGTAATTCCATTCTACACACCGTACTGTTCCGCTAGAGGTATTACAGCTTCGGTTCCAACCTTCTAATTTCTTCCTCGTCCTCAAGAGTTCTCCCCTTTGTCAAAGCAACCTGTTATCAACTATCATTTCCAATGCCCTGCCTGCTAGACTGGGCCTACCTAAGAAAGAAGCAGTGTAAATCTCTCTTCATAAACTTACTCATCCTCAGCCTCCTTTAGCCTCTTGCATAGCTGCTCAGCTTGGTCCCCGACAGAATTCTTCCTGTGAAAACAACAGATGACCAGGGTTTGCAGCACTGTAAAAATTTCCCATAACTGGACTGATTTGCAGCATCAACACACAGCCATTTGCAAATACTTCTAAATCAGTTTTCAGGGATGGAACACCTACAGACTGATGCCTGGCTCTGATACTTAGGACTGTGCTAAGAGCAGTGTGTGGGCTGCTCCTGCCTTTTGTGTAGAACAAATGGTCTGAGTCTGAGGATTACACATGGGTGTGGGGGCTAGCCACCCGGCCAACGGAGGCTAGTATATGATGGCTCAGGGGCTAAAGTTGAACACCACAGAATGCCAACTTTGGAATGCCAAGGCAGTGAGGATTATAGACAGAAAAGTACAACTACTGGGTTTCTGAAACTGAATTAACTGATGTAAGAAGAACTGTTACTGGTGAGAAGATTTAACAGTCAGAAATGAACACTGAGTATCACTAGACCCTAGACCAGGGTGGGCAGGTTGTTGTCCTTTTGATGTTTTGGCCTACAGCTCCCATCAGTGCAGTAATGGTAAGGGCTGGTCAGAGTTGGAGGGCAACAAGCTGCCTAGCCCTGGACTAGACTTTGTAATTTGGAAATTTCCTGAACTGAACTCCTGACCTACAATACCTACAGCTTGAGATCAGAGGCTTTTTTCTGCATTTCCTCACAAGGTGAGGTATAGTGGGAGATTATGGGGGAAGGGGCCTTTTCCTAGGTGGTGCCCTGCTTTGGAGCACACTCCCCGGAGTGGCTTGACCAGGAGCTGAGGTCTTTCTGGCACCAAACATCCTTTTGTTCTCCCAGTCAATCAAACCTTTGTTGACCTGTTTTATTATGGCTTGCAGGTTTTTAGTCGGACTTTTACACATTTGCTGTTCTAAAGGTCCCCCCTCACCCCCGGTAATCTGAAAGCCCACCTGCTGATGACTTGAAGGAAGAACAAGGTACAGATCTTAATATCAAAGGAAAGACATGATAAAATAAATATGCAGGCATAAAGACTTGGGCCTCTAAGGGCACTGCCCTCTGCTTCTTCACCCCAGAACACTTACTTGTCCCCTGAGCCTTGCAGGGACTCCAATTCCAGGGGCTGTTCTAATGGAAGTCCATTCTCCTAGGAAGGAAACCAGAGGGTATCATAAGCAAACCTTACCAGCTCCATTCGCTGTTCCCCCTCTTCTGAGCCACCACGCTGAATTCCATCCAGCTTTATTCCAGTGGCCTCCATTCACTCCTTAAACCATCCTGTGGGTTCCCTCACCAACACTCACTCTAATTTTCCTTCCAGCCTCTTCTTTGGGCAATGCGCCTTTTGCTGCCCCTTGCAGTTTGCAAATCTCAGCCTGCAAGGCCAGCTTCTCCTTTTGTAAGGCCTGGTTGGCTTCTTGCAGCACCTTAAAATCATCTTCCAGCCTTTTTTCCTGTTGGGGCATTCCAGGTGCCTGAAAAAAGCAAGTGCATAATTGCAAGGGGTAACCCCACCTCATCAGGTCACAAGGTCTAACCTTTCCATCACCACTTATAGCAGCCTTCTCCAGCTGGATGCCTTCCAGATTTGTTTGACCACAACTGACAGAATCTGATAGCCAATTCTGGAAGCTGAAGCCGAACACATCTAGAGACACCAGATGAGGAAGGACTGAACCAGGGACCGAGGACCAGCACATGTCTTTGCGACAGATGGTAGGGCATGAAAAGAGTCCAAGTTACAACTCTTCCTCACATTCTGTCTTTCCACCTAGGATCAGCCTTCCCTAACCTGGGGTCCCCCAGCTGTACTGGGTTATAACACCCATCACCCCAACCAGATGACCACTAGCAATGCTTCTCCTTACCAAAGCAAGCATGGCCTCTTCTTGAACAAGAGTCACAGTATCTGTCTCTTCTTGTGCTTCTGCAGTCTCTTTCTCCGAGGAAAAAGCCTGAGATGTTGAGCAGGAAAGCAGAAATCTGATTTATCTAAAATTATCTAAATTGTTTCACTGTCCTTCCAAAAGCTGACATGCTCACACCCCTTCTCACGGAAGGTGACTTTTATCAATGTACCTCAATGGGGGCAAGGGAAATGGGGAGCTGCAAAGATACTTCCAACCAATCCTTTGCCCCTCCATATTACCAGTTGCATCTTTAGTCGCTCCAGCTCCTGAACAGTTTCTTCCAACTGTTTTTTCAGCCCTGCACGTTCTGAGTGCAACTTTCCCACCACAAGCCGAGCCTCCTGGAACTTGCGCATGAGGAACTCTTTTTCTTCCTTGTGGGAAGCCTGGAACTGAAGGAACTCCTGGTAATGCTTCCGCAACATATGGTTGCTTTGTCGGATGGCATCTACCAACAGAACAGAAAAAAGGAGCTCTGGTTGGGTCAATGCTTTTTCCAGGAGCTGGAATTGCCACCTCATACCTGCTCTTGATGCTGAATGAACAATCCAATAAACAGTTTCACCTCCATGTCAAAGCTTCCCTTTTCAAGAAAGCTTTGAAATTCCCATCCTCAGTTGTATTTATTATTAAAATGCACATACTATCTTTTTGCAGTAAAGTCACCAAGGAGCCAACTATTAAAAAAAACCTGTAACAGAAATCCATTAAAAGAGTTACATAATTTAGAAGGCTAGATTAAAGAGATGTATTTTCCCTTCCTTTTCTGAAAACCAAAGGAATAACCTATTATTCCCTATCAAAGACAACTGCCCTAAGCAGAAGAAGGCTACCCCGGTACATATACTTTAGAATCAGACTGTCTGAATCAAAGGAATGGAACAGACCAGAAGAGTATTAAATGCAACTCGCCCTTCCATACAAGTAGCTCCAATGCTCCCTCCATTCCAATTAAAAGTCATAATCCAGACGAGCATTTTACAAGCACTGTACAGAGCATGAAGTACAACGACAAAGCCTCACAGAATTATTTTTCTGGTCTGCTGTAATTTAGATACGGGAACATGCTACTGTGCTTTTGAAATGAAACAGATCAACTTCTATTGTAATGTATGAACTGCTTCACTTCTGCAATTCTCAGGTGAAGTTCAGTTGTGATTTCACTGTTCCTTCTTTACCCTGATTTGCTCCTGGATTAGAACAACTGATTTCAATCTAAAGTTACCTCTCTTCCCAACAGCATTTTAGTGTGTATCACTTCACTCTAGGACAGAAGAAAGCAAAAAGAAATGCCCCAATAGCTGGGACTTCTGCTCCCAGCATTCCTGACAATTAGCCTTGTTGGTAGGGGCTTTTAGGAGCTGAAATCTAATGACATTCTGCCTATTCCTTGCCTGGGAAGTTCAGAGTTGCAAAGATAGGGAATTCCTTCTTACCTATAGCTACCAGGCAGGTGCTTAAGGATATATATCTCAAGACCACTTCTATTTAAAAACTTCCCTGGTAGCTCTAAGCAAGGAATTCTAAGCCTGTAAGCAAGCGGATCAGCAAAGTGTTCCATCCCTCCTCTGCATCCACTATGGAAACCAGCTGAATTTCTCCTTATTCACTTCAAGCAGCCTAAACCACAGACAGCCTCTTTGCAAAATAGCTCTTCATTGTCAAAGCACAGCAAATGAAAGACTGGCCTTTGTGCATGAACTGTTTAGTTGTTCCCAAATTAGAAACTACTTCTGAAAATCCTCCCTTTCAGTAATGCTGAGTTCCACCTCTCTGGATATGCCCCTCTTTAAAAGGGCCAGCCTTCAAGATTTATGCAGGCCCACTAACTAGGTAGCTTATATCCCAATGCTGCATCATGGTGTCAGAGATGTGGTAGGACATTGCCTCTTCTTCCACCTTTCCTTTATTCCCTCCCTTCTCTTCCAAGCCCTGTCTGTCCCCATCTGCTGAAGCCTTGAAATCCTACTCTGCTCTGGTCCTCCCCGCATCTCCCAGTCTTCACTACTCTGGTCAGTGCCACCTTGGAAAAGATGCCAAGAGTAACTGTCTTGTCTATTCCCAACAACCATTGCAAAAATGCAGCAGGCTGTTGGAAGAGGGTCAGGATTCTCCAGTCCTTCTCTGCCAGCCCCTAGTAAGCTAATAAAACATGATTTGCAGCATTGTGACTTAAGAAAAACACATTATGTAACACAGCAACATATAACATGGTCAATACACACACTAGTATACTATCAATCACATTAAATCATCCAATAAATATCAACGGTTCAACCAAAAAGAACTGTGTAATATCACATATATAAATCCATCAAGCTAAATATGAAATAGTATAAATAACACGTAACATCAAACATGACATATTTACTCCAGGAATTAGGAAGCAGCAAAGTAAGAATACATATTAATTTCTATACCATAATTATTTTAATAGTATTCAATAAAATGACGCTACTCTTCTACACATTCAAGATTCTTTTGTCTGTCCCCTCTTAGTCTAACTTTCCCACAAATTTTCAGGAATCATGTATGTTGCCAACTTTAGGAAACCATTCTTTACATGTCATTGATTTAGTATTTTTGCAGCTTTTGGCAGTAATCATTTTTGTTGCCATTACCAAAATAACTATCACTGGCTACTGAATTTTAGAAATCTCATATTAAAGGAGTTCTAATAACACCGTTCTAGGGCTAAAAAACAAGTTGTATCCAGTTATATGCTGACATCTCTCTTGTTTCCAAAAATCTTGAATTTCTGGGCAACTCCACCACATGTATATATACAGTGGTACCTTAGCTCATGAATTTAATCCATTCCAAGACTCTGGTCATGACCCAAATTGGTCGTGACCCAAGTCAAATTTCCTCATAAGGTTCAATGTAAATAAGGTTCATCCATTCTGTAACTATTTTCTTAAATCACAAACATTTGAAAGGGCGCACTGAGGGGGGAAAGACGGGTGCGATCGCAGGTGTGCTCGGGGGGAGGCGGATGTGATCGCAGGCATGCTGGGGGGAGCCCTCCCGTCTCACCCCTCAGCGCACCCACGATCACCACCTGATGCGAAGTTCGCGACCCGAGGCAAAATTTTTCAGAAATTTCTGTTCACAACTCGATTTGGTCGTGAACTGAGGCGTTTGTGAGCCGAGGTACCACTGTAGTTAGCTGAATGCATCTCACATTTCCAACATGCACAATTAACCCTTCTATATAGCTAAGTCACTTTTGTGGCTTATTTGCAAGGCTGGCCAATACATTTTTTTAAAGGTGTGAAACCCTTTGGAGTCTCTGATGCAAAAAAAGGGGAGTATCTTAAAATAGGATGCATGACACCTTACTGGAGTAGACAAACATGAACCACTCAGAGAAAATAATGCGCCAACTAATTTAGTTCAGTGTATTATATTACTAAGAAGAGAGGTAGCATTTTTTTCTGTTTGCATAAGACTGGTTTAGTGAGAAAATCAAGCACTTCTATAATCACTAGTTCCTTTAACTCACTTGAACTACCCTGGTTTGAACCCTACCCCATCAGCACCACTAGGTCAATTAGCTTGCTCCCCAAATTTAGCAAGCACTACTGGGTTTAAAGAGAAGCAAGAATATGGCATCAGAATCCAGACAACTGTAGGCAGCTACCCAATGTGACAGCTGAGCTTCCAATAGCAGAGGACGAGGCCCAGTCACAGAAATGGCCATATCAGGGACTGAGTGTAAAGTGAGAGGACCCAAGAATTAAATATCTCATCTATGCCCCTAAATATTCAAGCCAAACTGTAGGCCAAGCTTGCTCCATTATGTCCTTACCTTTGAGATCTCTGTTCTCAGCCAGAAAGTGCTGCACAGCCTCATTTCCAGCCAGCTCAGCTGGAAGGTGGAGAGTAGCAGCTTTCCCCAGAGAAGAATCATCTGCCATCATGCAACAGTCACTGCCAGGGTACCCTCCTGGCTGTACCATGTCAGACCTCCAGCCCCCCTGGGCTGCACTCATCCAGCCAGGCCTTGAGAACAGAGCAGACAATTAAGACCAGGAATTGAAAACAACAACTCCTCATTCAGTCTCTCACACCCATACACATTTTCCACAGCTGTTGAAGGAAACACATGAGATGCTACGACATTTCACTTTATAGTGCTAAATCACTAATATCAGGGATATGCCACTTCAGACTGTGGGGTTGCCACTCATTTGCAAGCACATTTGTGCACAATTTGCACAACTGCAAGCTTCTCCATATAAATAACACATTCCTTATATGCATGATGTACACAATGGTATCAGGGAGAGGCTAAGCTAGAACCATTCTCCCTGACCTGACAACTTTCTATGTGATTTGTTTTTTTTTTTTTTTTGCATTGGAACTGTTGATCATGTGAACCTCCCTGCTACAGTCAGAAATGCTACTGCTTGTTATAGGCTCATCATCATCATTAGAGAAAAAACAAATTTCATACTCAGGAAGAAGTCATTTTTCAGTGCCCAGTTGGGAAAGCAGAGGAGAGTATGAAAAACTGGATTTGGGAACAAGTTCATGTGCTTGAGCTGAGTATTCTGGCTAGATGCCTGGATTTGGTGTGGTGTAGAGGTCTGAGCAGCAGTAGGCAACCTGGAGTCCTCCAGATGTTTTGGATTACAACTCCCATAGACCCCAGATAGCATGACTAATGATTACAAGAGAAGCTTTTGCTCAGGAGAGTACCAGACTGCCAACTCCTGAGTTAAAACATGGACACAGACTAGTGAGATTTGGGTTCAGACCCAGGCTCAGCCCTAATACTTACTCTTTAAGCCAGCCAACATTCCTCAGTCTACCTTGCCAGAGTTCTTGCAATTTGCAAAGGAGAAGACAGTTCCTATCTGTGCTCATTAAGCTCATTAGAGGAAGGGATAGATAAAAATAGAAGAGAATGTGCCAGGAGGACAGGCCTTTCACCAGCTTTTAGGCATGGCCGCTTAATAGAACCTGCATGCTCAGCAACAGTAAGCAACAAGGGAGGGGGTGCTTCCCTCACGACCTACTTCGTGAACTTCCAAACGCACCTGGCCAGCTCCTGCGGGGAACAGGACGCTGGTCTAGATCGGTCAGCCTCCTCCGAGCGCGGCGCCCCCCAGATGCGCTGTGACTGCAGCTCTCATCCTTCCCTATCCCGGGGCGGGGGGAAGGTAGTTGCAATCCAGCATATGTGAGGGCCAGGCGCCCGGGCGAGGTTGTGGCAGAGCTCTGGCCAGGCCCAACAAGGCCACCGTAGTACTCCGGCGCTTGCCAGGTGGCTCGGCTTACGCGGAGGAAGTGGCGGAGAATGCCCGGAGCGGACTTCGCGGGCGGAACAAGTTGAACAAGCCTGGGGGCGGGAGCCGGACGCCTGGGTCCCACTCCCAAATCAACCCTCTTTGTTTTTCCCCAAAGACCAGCAGACCCGTTTTGCGAGGGGCAGCGAGACGCAACACACCTCTCCCCGAACTTCGGAGCCCCCAATTGCTCCGGCGGCGGCGGCGGCGACTTCCTTCTTCCTGGAAGGTTGTTTTGTTGTTATCCGGAAGTGACGTTTGAAAAGCGAAAGCGAATCGGAGAAGAGTGAGAGGTGGGATTCCAAGGGTAGCGCTGAGGCGGAAGTGATGTTCGGTGGGCGGCGGTGGCCGTGGGGTAGTGACGCGCGTGGCTGGGCGGAGGGTATGCCAGGGCCCCGCGTTGTAGGGGTGACAGCAGCACTTTTTCGGGATCGGACGTCTCCAGCGCAGCCTTATGAGGAGAAAGACAGCGCGGCTTTAAAAAAATAGAAATAAAAATAAAGAACAGTGTAGTAAATATCCAGAAAACAAAAATCGTGGCTACAGAAGAATTACACAGCTTTAGGCTTAATTGTGCTTACCTTGGCTCCGTCATGAATTTAAATAAGACTGCACTCCAAGAATTAGCACAATGAGACTTGGAAGGGCAGCAATGAAGGAAGTAGAAGGGTCCGAGATCAAATCAAGTCGGAACTTTCTATAGAAACAAAACTGATGAAACTGAAGCTATTGTACTTCAAACACATAATGAGAAAGCAAGACTCACTAGAAAGGGCAATCCTGCTAGGAAAAGTTAAAAGAGGAAGGCCAACTATGGGACGGTTCAGTTCCATAAAGGAAACCACAGTCTTGAGTTTATAGCTTCGCACAGCTGTCAAGGACAGAACATGTTGGAGTGTATTCATTCATCAGGTCCCTTTAAGTCAGAGATTACTTGACTTGTAGCAACAACAAACCAGTTCAACCTTCTCCTCTGATGTGCCAGGACTGTAACTCTCAGCATGCCCCAGGAATCATGACTGGTTGAAACAGCCATGCTTACTGAGCATGATGGAAGTTCTAACACATTTGGAGGATATCTGGTTAGTAGATGCAACCCCAGAGATAACGAGAAAGAAAGGGAGAGTAATGCATGACCTTCTGCAAAATAGAGCTGCCAGGTTGCTGACGGGGACGGGGCGTTATGCTCACATGACTCCAGTCCTCCATCAGCTTCACTGGCTTCCCATTGAAGCCCGGGCCCAATTCAAGGTGTTGATTATGACCTACAAAGCCCTAAACGGCTTGGGTCCTGGCTACCTGAACGAGCGCTTACGTCCGTATATGCCCGACCGCCCTTTGAGATCTGCGGGAGAGTCCCTTCTCCGGGAACCCTCCATGAAAGAAATTAGGAGAGTAAGTACCCGGAGGAGGGCTTTCTCTGCGGTGGCGCCCAACCTATGGAATTCACTCCCCAAAGAGGTCCGCCTGGCACCGTCGTTACTGGTTTTTCGGCGCCAGGTAAAGACCTTTTTATTTAAACATCATTTCAATTGTTAAAACATATGATCTGGCCTGGGCAACTTCTTCTTCCTTCTCTTTCTCCTCCTATATTTTTATTTTATACTGATAATTTTAATTTTGTGTTTGTAAATCAATGTATTTTTTGTATTTTTATATTTAATAGTAATTTATTATGTACTATTGTATTTCAATGTATTTTATCATGTTGTAAGCCGCCCCGAGGTTTCGGCAAGGGGCGGCATAGAAATGTTATAATAAATAATAATAATAATAATAATAATAATAATAATAATAATAACTTCAGTTGAGATTTCCTTTGGTTCCATAAAAAGCACAAGGTGGCTGTGAGTAAATGGGCAGTCTGGAGTTTTTGAGGGAAGGGGTTTGAGGTGGTGATGTAGAGTTAGCCACTTCACTCAGTTGACTTTTGTTGCAATATGAGCCACCGTTTTCTTTGATTTGCTTTTGTCTTTTTTTTTCCTGGAGACTACAAGCAGCTGTCAACCGAACTTGACCCAAGAATCAAGCAGGGGGCGCTGTTGCCTATTGATTGATATTAGTGATATTTATTTCTATACTGCCCAATAGCCAGAGCTGCCTGGTAGTTTACAGGAATTCATGAAGTATGATAAATATATCTATTTACTTACAACTTTTGCATACTGTTCCACATCAGCTTCCTGAACAGTGAACAATAAAAGATAAAAAGAATAAAACAATCATGTTGTTTGGAAAGATAAAATAGAGAGGAGGAGCATGTGGCTCTCTTTCTTCCTTTTGCAAGTTGGTTGTACTGGTTAGAGTTTGGGATGGGGTTGATACTTGGGAGATCCTGGTGCTAGTCCCCCCTCAGATATGAAACCCATTGGATAACTTTGGGCCCGTCATGACTCTCAGCCCAACCTACCTTACAAGGTTGTTGTAAGGACAAAGTGGATAGGAGGTGAACCTTGTAAGCTGCCTTGGATTCTTTAGAAAGGGAAGAAAGTTGGGGTATAAATCACACACCCCTCTTACAATCATACATAATAAAATAATAGCTATTTAAAATGATTTTAATAAAGCAGAGTAGTAATAAATGAATAAATTAAGAACTATATTGAAACCCCCATAGTTCCAAAGAATGGTTAATGCTGCAGTCCTATCACCACTTAGATGGGAGCATGCCTTGTGAAAGCCAGTGAGTGATTGCTGAGTAGACATGATAGGATTGTTAGGTGAAATTTATTTTATTTTTGCAGAATTGGTAGGTGACCTTTCTCAAAATTTTTATTTATTATACTAAATACAATACCTTTTCCTATTGGGCATTACAGAAATGAAGGAATGATGATGTATTTATACCTTCACTTTTTTCCTGCAGGGAATTCAAGGTAGTTAATATGATCCTCCTCCCATTTTATTCCCACAGCAACCACCCAGGGAGATAAATTAGGCTGAATTTGTGACTCAAGTCAACCTGGCTCTCCCCAGTCCTAATCTGGCACTTAGGTAATTGTACTACTCTGACTGACTGTTAGAGAACTGCTGTGTGAGCCATGATCAAGCTCAGCTTCTGTTTGTTACACAGTAATTGTGAGCGGGTAATTCCTGCTTTAACTTGCAGTATGAGAATCATATCATCACATTGCTTCTGATTGTTGTAACCAGTGCTTTTTTTGTCATAGAACACACCGGAACAGAGTTCCGGCACCCTTTTTCGACAAATTTTCCAAGTTTTAAAAGTAACTTTTGAAAATTTGATGTTTGGTCCATGTGGATTTGAATTGCCCTGTCAAGTGCAGCAGGTCGGTGGCAAAATTATTAAAATGGTGCATGCAGGCTGCTTGTGTGTCGAATCCGATGCATGCGTACTTCGTCCGCACTAGTTGTTATGGCGCTGCTCGGCTTGTGATTGGTCATGTGGTCACGCACTGAGTGCTTACTGCAGGCGGCGACTGTTATGTTTTGTTACACAATTGACATGTGTGGGGGTGTGTACAGTGATTGACTACATGCGAAAGGTAAATAATTTCATGAGTTCCAGCACCCTTTTTCTTACAAAAAAAGCACTGGTTGTAACCTACTCTGACCTTTGCTCAGATCTGCAACAGTGTGCTCCTAAGTCACTGTCTCTGTGACCCCCTCCTCTTCCTCACTTGTAGTTGCAGGACACTATGAGTGGACTGCACTGTATAGTTGTGATAAGCCCTCCACCTCTGCCCTTCTGCTCCATGCGGCAGTATGGGGATATTAACAGCCTACTACTCACTGCAGTACAGAGGTGCTGAAAGCTTCTCAGTCCTCCACCCTTGCACATAATATCTGCCTCCACTGTCTCTCTACTCCCATCTCTAATCATGGATGGATAGTCGTTTCTTCTCTGAGCACAAAAAGCTTATGCAGGGCATTTTAATTGTTAAAACAACTTTTTAAAATTACATGAGAAAGGATGTGATTTTCTGTCTTTGCTTTTCTAGGTGATGGGAAAGCAAGCAATGGAAAAATGATGCTGCCAAATCACTGACTGTGGTCCTATTGCCTCCTAAGAACAGCAGGTACAAGACGGAAGAGGCTGAGAATCCATTCTGTAAATTAAAGAATCCATCAGTCTAAATTAAAATCCAGTCTGGCCTATAACTGGCTGACCACAATCAAGGTTGTTATTGTATTGTAGAGATATTCAACCTGTTTGGGACAGTGGACACATTAGAAATTTTGTGAGTGCTTTCTTGACATGCATGCCATGGAGAGCTTACACATTCATAAGGTTGCTGCCACAGTGGGCAAGGCCAGTCACAAGAAACTCATTTCCAAGAAAGTTAACTTACCCAGGAACCTATGTATAAAGAGGAGGGGTTGATACTCCAAAACACAAAACCATTCCCCTGAATCCAGGTTAGAATGCCAGTGGGGGAAAAAACTTTATAGCATGCCAATTGAAAAAGAGGAATGCAATAAACAAAAGGAATGAAACACTTGGTACCAAAAGAGAAATCCATCAGAGATTTCAGCTATTTTGTCTAAAAAGGACCTGCATTTTCTCCAGGCTACCCAAGGCACCTGTTCTGAATCAAAAGAGTGGAAATAGAGGAAGGAATGTGGTGGCTTTTAAATTTTCCATGAGTAATGTTTAAATCGTGTCACTAAAATGTATTGTGACTCCTTTCTACAGCACAGTCCCAGTTCATACAAACAACCTACTGTTAAGAAGCCGTGGATGGTTTGCAAAGGAGCAAGCCTGCTATCTCCCAGACAGTTCTTTGCTGAACAGTTCAGTTCCTGGCTTCTTTACTGTGACATCTGAACCTGGAACTCTGGGTTGTTTGTTGAGGAAGAAATCCAAAGTTTTAACCCAGGAAGCTGCTAATAAGCTGTGCTGTGAAATGTGTCTTTAAGACACACTTCATTCTTGAACAAAGACATATAAATGCGAAATGGCTGAACTACAGTTCATTTGGAGATTTAGCTTTGTTCTTGGGGTTTGAATAAAGATTAAGGTTTTAATTTTGGGGTGTTTTTTAAATCACGCTACATATGCTCATTATTGCAATGATGTCTGCATTAATTACCCAGCTATGAATGGCAACTGCTAAGGTAATGGCTGTAGTCTATGTTTTTTGCATTTCACTTTGCTCTAACACAGTTTAGTCTTCCCCATTCATACCCCAACCTGTGTATAGAAATCTGTCAATTTGAGGTTTACCCTTCATATATCAGATGAAGTGAACAGTGTCCATGAAAACTTATGCCAGAATAAATGCATGAATATAAGGTGAGACAAGACTGTGTGTGCGTGAGGGGAATTTTCCGCCTCAAGCATCAAAATACCTTGCAAGACAAACCACATTCCAGATAAAAGAAATGAAGGGGTTATGCAACAGCATTGCCTACAGAGAAATAGAGAAACACTTCCTCTTTCATTGCCCAGTCACAAGGAAAGATGTTAAAGGGATCAAATTATGTTCACAACTGTTTCTTCTTAGACTTCTACTCCTCCAATAAATTGTGCTTGTCTTCTGGAACACACATTACCTAGTTACACTAAGCTTGGCCTCCCTTCCTGGCTGCTTACCTGCCTTTCTTTCTTAAATGGTGTACATTACAAACTACTTTGTGAGGCAATTTCTACTTTAGTATGCAAGGAAATGTGGGTGATGTACTTCTCCAAACTGCAAAAATAAAGCAAAGTTGCATTAGCAGTGAGAGGAGGAAAGTGTTTGCCCTGGGAGAGAAGAAAATTTTGAAGGAAGAATGGGTAGCAATGAGCAGTGGGCACAGCCAATTCAGCCCCAGCTCTCCGGGGACTGCCAGGAAAAATGAGCTACACCCACATTCTTTGGCATGCAAGTTCCACTTCCTTGACAATTGCTGTTTACTTTGTCATGCTGGCAAAGTCTGATTATGATGAACTGAACTGGAGAAATAGTTTCTGCTCTGCAGGAGGGCTATGAGTGGAAGACAACATCTGAATTCCCTGTAAAGTTTAGTAAGTGAGGCCAGTCCATGCTGTGATAAAATCAGCGTGGTGTAGTGATTAGGAGCATGGGACTCAGTCTCAAGCAATCTGGGTTCTAGTCCACGCTTGGCCATGGAGCCAAAGGGATGACTTTGGGCCAGTCAGTCTCTCAGCCCAACCTACCTCACAGGGTTGTTGTGAGGATAAAATTGAGAGGAGGAAGAGAATGGTGTGAGCTGCTTTGAGTTCAGTGTAAGAAAAAAGCAGGACATAAATCTAATAAAATAATGCCAGATATGGAAGTATCCATTGAATCCCAGCTTTCGAAGCACTGGCTTTATTGTCCTTGTGCAGGCTTCTCCAAGTGGATGGTCCCCAGGTGTTTGAGCTATAGCTTGCATCACCCTTGACAACTGACTGTGTTGGCCAGGACTGATGGGAGTTTCCCAAAAGTTCTGGAGAGCACCAGGTTGAAAGAGACTGTATTGCTTATATATTTATTTGGTACCTCCTTTCTTATTGTTCTCTGCTTTCAGAGTCAGCTAACAGTAACAACTCCAGATCAAAATAGAAAAGTTAAAAGATGAAAAATTCAGTAATGGAAGAAATTAAAACCAGCAGGCAACCAAACAGAACCTACTTACAGTTTGCATACCAAAGGCCGCTTGAATGAGAACAGTTTTGCTTGCCAAAAAAACTACTGTGGGGAGACAAGCAACTTAATCTCCCTTGGCAATGTATTCTAGACTTTAGGAGCAGCCACTGAGAAGGTGCCTGTCTTATGTTCCAATGAAATGTGTCTCCAAGCCCAAGAGAAACTCCACCCCAGATTATCATTAAACCTAGGCAAGCTCACATGGAAAAATAAACTCATGTAGCCTGGTTCCAAGTCATATAAGGTTTTATGGATCATAACCAGCACTTTGAATTGTGCCCACAAATGGTCAGGTAGCCAGTGATGCTGGTGTAACAGGAAAGTTATGTGCTCCCCCTTTGTGGCCCTAGTCAACAATGTGGCCACAGCATTTTGGATCTTCTCAAGGTTTTGAACACTTCTCAGAGGTAGCCCCACCCAGAACACATGAAATAGTCCAAACAGTGCAACTGATGCATGCATCACTTGGCTGGATCAGGCACGGAGCTGGCTGTTAGCCTCAGCAGTGCACCGCAAACACACTCCAGGCCACTGCTGTGACCTGGGCATCCAGGTGGGGCCAGGTCCAAGAGTACACTCAAACTGCAAGCTGGAGTGGAACCTCAACGCCCTCCTCTACCTTTCCACTAACCAGAGTCTTGTCTGGATTAAGCTTCAGTTTGTTTGTCCTCATCTAAGCAATTCCAGCCATCAGTTTAGATTTAGAACAACTTTCTTGGGTTTTGATGGAAGGGAGAGGTAAAGCTGCCTGTCATCAGCATTCCATTGGAACTGAAAGACAACACCTTAGACAACCTTTCCTAGAGCTTCCATATGTACATTAAATGCTGTAGGGATCATGACGGGAACTTGTCCACAGGTCAATGCCCAGCATTTTTTTTTTTTTTTTTTGGATTTATATCCTGCCTTTTTCCTACAAAGGGCTCAAGGCAGCTTACATCATTCTCCTCCTCCATCTTATCCCCACAACAACCACCCTGTGAGGTAGGTTGGGCTGTCTGCCTGGAGCCCCTCAGCACCATCTTGTTCTATGTGGACTGCTTCAGCTCTGCATCCACACAGTCTGTGGACTAACATTTACTATGCTGGGAATTGCAGGGCTTTTTTCTGACTAAATAAGCATACAGTTGCCCTAAGTGATCTCTTGAGTTCCTACTGATTCATGGACATCCTCTCTATAAGTTATAAATGTTGGTCCATCATTTAATTGGTTGGTATTATCTTGTGTTTACTCTCATGAAGCATACTTGCATAATTAAAATACCATTTGTGTTACATAAGTTTAACTTGCCATTACCGGTGGTTCACCTCCTATTTCTCAGACTCATTATTAAGTTTTTAGTTGTTTAAACTGGCCCATTACTTGGTCATATGCAATATTTGTTTGTTTACTGGATTTCTAGCCTGCCTTGTTATCCACATGGCTCCCTGGGCAGGTTACAAATGGAGTGCACAATCCAGATGTGCATTCCAGCCTAAACTTGGGATTTGCATGCTACTCACCTTTACTTAACATGCCAAATGCAAGTTTGTACTGTATATGGAAAGACGGGGAAGAGCAGTGGCTATGGAAAAGAGGCTTGCAAACAGTTGTTTCTATCACTCCTGTGCTTTGAGTAGTCATGCGGCAGACGGACAGAAATTAAGCAGGTACTGCAGAAGTAAAATGTTACCTGCAGGATTTCTGCGTTCTGGACTAGGAAGCATGTGGCACAATTTCCTACTTCTTGGTGATAACTGATTCCATCTTCCAGAGAGGTAGCCCTGTTAGTCTATTATTACAAAAAGAACAATTCTTTTAACATCTTAGCAGACTTCATTAAGGTTTTAATTTTTTAAAGGTGATCCAGGAGTAATCTGCAAAATTAGAGACCAGTTAGTTTAATGTCTATATGGATGCATTCTTGAACAAAAAATTCTTACTTTATTTATATGATGACAGGATCTGTGCTGGTGGAAATTCACCAAGAATGTGCAAAAGGGACATTCCATATTGAGCATAATGAAGCTTGTAATATAAAGCTGCCAATATCATACAGCCCTTAAGCACATTTATGGAACAACTGCACTTGCACGCAGTTCTAGTCATTGTATCTAAAAAGGATATTGTTGAATTGGAAAAAAAGCAGAAAAATGATCAAATTGTAAAGGGCTGGAGTAGTTCTCCTAGGAGAAAACATTACAATATCTGGGATTGTTTAGTACAGAAAATGGTGAATAAGGTGTACAAAACTATGCATAAATGGATAGAAAGAAATGTTTTCCCTTCTTTCATAATACTGGAACCGGGAGTCATCCAATGAAGTGGAACAGAGGGAGATAAAAGGAGGTACTTCTTCACACAGTGCATAATTAATCTGTGGAGTTCATATCCACAGCTCCCATTTTGGATGACTATAAACGGGCTTGTCCAAATTCATGGACAAAGTTATCCTAATGGCAGTATGTTCTTCCCAGTATCAAAAGCAATCTATGTACACAAGCAGTTGGGGAACATGGACGGGACGGGACGGTCCTGTTACTCTCATAACTTGCTTGCAGGTTTCCTGCGGGTAGCTGGCTGGTCACTGTGTGAACAGAATGCTGGATTAAATGCATCCTTGGTTCTTGGTCTTATTTTCTTCTTAGTGCGCCAGTATTACGGCATCAATTTTCATGACCTTTCCCTATTGTAAGAAAGTGGATTCTATCTATCCCATTAGATCTGATGTCCATATCAAATGCATTAAATCTCTAGGATGCTGAAGCCGCATTTTTTGGCTTTAGCCAACTCCATCATATATTTCGAGGGTGGCGGTCGCCGCCTATCGTGACCAAACCCAGCTAGCAATCAGTTCGTGGGGACCGTGGTGGTGATGGTGAGGGGAAGAGTGGCTGCATTTGAACTGAGTGCCGCCGCGCTGGTTGCGTAAGCATGGCTCTGGGAAAGCCCAGCCGCTTCTAAGTGCTGCCGGCGGCGGTGAAATGGCTTAGGGCACTTCCTATTGGCTCTCGGCCTTCCGGCCCGCCTGAGCAGGCTCTTCTGATTGGGTGCAGCAGAGGCGCTAGTAAGCGGGCGGGCGACGGGGCGGGACGCCTGTCAGCCCCGCAGGGGTATGGGGCGGGGAATGGGGAGCCGGGCGAGCGTGAGGGGAGAGCGCCTGAAGGAGCCGCCGCCGCCGCCGTCGTCGTCACTCAAAGCCGGTATATGGGGTGGGGAGGTGGTGCCATTTGGGGAACTTAGCTGCGAGGCTGGGGGATGTGTGCGCGGGTCAGAGGAAAGGCAGGGCGGGGAACGACTGACTGCGGGAGGTGAGGGGCGCATGGGCTGTGGGACCGGCGATTAAAGAGAGGGGCTGGCCTGTGAGAAGGTGGGGGGGGAGGTGGAGCGGTGGGAGCCAGGAGGACGGGGTTTGGCCGAGGGGGCGCGCAGTGGGGGCCAGCAAAGGGTCTGGCTGAAGTTTCTGAGCGCTGAGGGGTCTCTCCGTGTGCTCGCGCACCTGCTCCCTTCTGCCCGAATCCCCCTCTCGTGCGCGCGCATACACACACGCGCTCAAACTTCCATGGAAAGGCGGAAGAATGTGAAGCAATGGCTTGCAGTGGTCAGGGCAAGCTAGGAAGAGGAAGTATATTTGACTCGGGGTGGGGTCAAGGGCAAGAAGAGGCTGGATGGGTGGGGGTTGGGTCAAAGAAGTGGAGGGGTGGCGGCGGCGGTGACTCGATCTCATAGGCAACTTGGGGTTGCCATCTTCAGAGAGCTAATCCTTTTGTCCCATTTTATGGCCCAGCATTTCCCTGGCCAGATTAACTGACATTTGTCTCCATTCTAAATGACCCTATTGTTTCTCCTCCCTCCATTGGGAGTTCAGCTGCTTCACCCTTTTCTTTCTCTCTGCAAACCACTACTTAATGAAGAATGTTATGCAATATGTAAAACACCTACATCAAATTCCCTTTTACTGTATTTGGTATTATGGTCCCGGAAATGATGTATTGGACTGCAATGCATCAATAAAGCACATGCATCTATAGAAAGTTGGTCATTCCTTTCCTAACAGGAAACTTAATGGGTTTCTTTCCCATTGCCACAGTATCCACCTACCTCAACTTTATTTTTCCTCATTCTTTTGGCTCTCTTTAGAAGTAGAGAGTTCAGTTGGTGGAGCCTTTCCAATTTACAAATAAATGTCAGCCCTAGAAAACTGACAAGACTTGGATAATACATTCTGTTGAAACTGCCTGGAGCAACTTAAGCTTGACTTGCTTGCAGCAAGTTGAGACTCGTGCCTTACAGATCAATCCAGCATTGTAAACTGACGATTGTGCCATGACAAGGACTGACAAACTCTTCACCTGGGCAATACCTTCTGGAGGGAGGGCAATCAGGTGGGTGGAGCCTCAGACCAACCTTTTTTTTCTCAGGAAACAACTCTGCCAACATGAGTCGTCACCCACCACAGGAGGAGTTGACCCAAGCAGACATCTGTGGGATGCTGCGTGAAGAGCTAAGCCAGGGAAATGACTTCCACAAGTCAGATACCCACATTTTCATCATCTTGGGGGCTTCGGTGAGTATCTTTCCTTTGGACCCAGTTAACATACATGAAAAATCGACCTGGGAGTGTAGGCATCTGTATGTTTTAGAATTTTATGTTGCTTTTCCAAAAATAACAAAGTAACTGGACTGTAGTTTCCCAGAGTGGCAGGCATTGACCCCACAAGGAGAGGGAATCAGTATGGCACTGAGTTGTATAATGGACAAGAAAAACTGCCAGTCTTTATGAAGTGCATGTTTGGGAGAGATGATAATGGTGTAGGGGTGAAAAGCACAGTTGGCTATATACATGTGTAATGTCATAGATGGCATTAGTAATAATGTATTGTTATAAAAATTGAGGCACTATTGCATGTATAACACTTAAGCTACTCATGCGAAATAAAATTACAGCTTAAACAATATAGATGGATTAATCTATAGAATAGTAAAAACAATAACAATAAAAAGTAATGGACAGGCAAAAATAGGTTGTTAAATATCCTCCCAAATTAAAAATGTTGCTACAGAATGTACCTAACTTATGGTAGTTTTGACTAACTAGCATTTAAAATTGTGATGCAAGTATTTGAGCTGGTACAGAAGCATTTTTTTCTTCTGCTTCTCCCTCCCTCTCCTTCCTTCATTTTACTTTTTTTTCTCCTTAAAACATTCCACCTGAAGAACAATTATCCTTATGAAGAATTCCGTATGACCTGCATATTTAAAACACTAGTTGGACCATCTAAAAAAACTGTGCCATGTAGTGTGTAATTGTTAACTCTAAGAGATGGGCATGGAATTGTTTTCCAAATAATATTAGGAAAGGTTGTGACTGCAAAAGAAGTTTGTTTCCTCCAGAATCAGGAAGGTTGGCAGACCCCCTAAGGCAGAACTACACAATTTACAAGCTGTTTGGTGAAAATGCATCTCTGTGTTGAGTTATCCCCCATAAAAGGTATCTCATTTTGTATATTTTCCTATTTGTACCAATGGATAGGAGAAATATTAGGCTAAATCATGGTAGGTAATACAGATGGGAGAAATATTAGGGCAAATAATCCATCACTTTAGGTATAAGAGAGCTGGAGTCTGTTTTTTGTGGTAATTGAATATCCTGTATAATTCTGATCCAAGGCTATTTAAAATTAGTGCAAAGGAACTAAATAGCTTGTCCAGCTGATAATTTCAGGCTGTTATATCCTGCATTTAATTCCTCTGCTCCCAGTTTCCTATTACCATATTGTCTCTGTTGATCACTCTTTGTTCAATCCTGGGGACCTAAAGATTATTTTAAATCTGCTCCATCTATGCTTCACAGATCATCAGAAATCCTTCTATTGTCAGCTCATTGACTGAATCATATTTCTTTAGGAATGTATTGGAATAATGCACAATGATTTTCTATAAATCCCTCCAAAAGTAAAACACTGAATTGCCAGTCCATGCAACTCAGAAAAAGCCAACCTGTTGGAAAAGCTGCAGATCAGATTAACAGAAATCTGAATTCATTTGAATTCATTGAACATTGCTATCTACTCCCACACTGCTATTCTCCCTGTGGTACCTGGTCTAGAATCTTCCCTTCCAGAGGTGTGGCTCACAGAGATGCAGGATTTGTATCTGGTGACAGGATGTTGATGTGGCCCAAATACCAGTGACAGGTGGAAGGGCCATTTTGCCCTGCAGCAGACTGTGACTTGCCTTCCTGTGTAAGTGCCTCCTTGGGCTGAGTTGTATAACTCAGTGCAACAGTAATCACCACCTTTGGGTAGGTGGGTGGGGGTGTTTCTGAGCATGCTTGAGGGAGCAGGTAGCTAATCCAAATTTATCCCAGATTGAGTAATGTGTTGGTAATCTGAAGCCTGTAAAGCAGTTTGGGATTTGTCATCACTCTGTCTCCTAGTTGTAATGGCAAAGTGTTGTCTGCCTACAATGAAAGGATGGGTGGTGGGCAGGGGGAAGCAATTACAAGAATATAAACCTATTATACTTGCAAAAATATACTCTGAAAATGTACATTGAAAAATGTACCTTGAAGTGTACTTATTTTTTACATTGCAGTTTTGTATACTAAATCCTGGTTTGTATTCATGCACAAGGCCTGATATGTAATTTAATCTGCGGCTTGGTGGTAGAAAAGCATCATTGAGCAGGATACATTTTAGCAGTGGTTCAAGGGATACCAGCATAAACTGTGAGCTGAATACAGATTTAAGCTGGTTCAAGTGCCCTGACAGAAGTGGACTTTCCTGCCACTTTCTTCCCAGTGGCAGCTGCTCCAGTGCCTTGAAAATGCTACACAGAGAATCAAGGCACCCTGCTGAATGGGCGTGAGGGGAGGGGAAATCCTCAAAAACTGGATAGAGGTACTTTCTTCAAGCAGAGCCTTTTGTTTCATAGGAAGTACGTACCTTCCTTTAGCTGAAGACAGATTCTAAATCCACCCTTGTAACTGTGAAAAGCTTTGAGAGTTTTTAAAAATCACGTCCTGGGAATGTAGTGAAGGGAGATATAGGCTGTTTTTAAGTTTGTTTGTTTTCTAAAGAGGCTCTGGGCTGAGGGATGCTCTAGAAGGAAAGCTGTACTGTTCATTCTGGAATAATAGGCTGCGGTTGCTCAGTGGCACTTTATGCATGCTCAGAACATTTTACTTTAATTACTATTACATTGTATTTGTTTAATGAAGAACAGGGCCCAAAGATGAGAAGGGGTGGTACTAAGTGGGAATGATTAGAGGATGAGAGGTGAAGGCACAATATATTATTATTATTATTATTATTATTATTATTATTATTATTATTACATTTCTATGCCGCCCCTTGCCGAAACCTCGGGGCGGCTTACAACATGATATAAAGATTATATAAAGATAATATAAAGATTAAAAGGACTTTTGTGGGGTATTTACATTACTGATGGAAATGGATGTGCCATTGCGATTCCATTTGTCAATGGCTGGAGAAATGTGTTGAGGTAGAGCAAGTCCCTCCTCTCTGCCCACTTGCCATTGAATGTTGCTCTCTGCCCGAATATTTACACATGTGGTGGGGCCTAAATTGCTCCTAGACTCTATTTGGATGAATTGCAGCATGCTGCCAAAATGGTGTCTGTATGTTTCATTGATTTTGGTCATTTGTGTGTAAGTGTGCGGTTTGTTAAAAAAAAAAGCGTTTCTTCTTGTTTGTTCTTTAGTGGGGTAACTTAAGACTGGTTGAACCACCCAGTGGGTGGTTCTAGCTCACCACAGAAGAATGAAAAGGGAGCTCACTGGATGATTAAGAGGACAGGAGACACAGCTTGAACAAAAGGAGAAGCATCAGCATTTGCTGAGTCACTGGGGATTAAATAGATGCAGTTCCCCAGTGAGCTGCTGGTGAGAGAGGAAAGGTACCAGCTCTTCTGTTTTTGGTTCCCAGCATAAGACCATGCTTCTAATCTGGAGGCATCATGTATAATGCAGGAGTAGGCAGTGTCCTGGGAATAAGCAGGGCGTGGCCAGGATATCTCTGCACTCGCCAACCATGTGCAATGCAGTCTCTAAGTGGATAATCTACACTGTATTTTTGTCTTTTCCTAGCAGACATGCTGACTTGAATTGGGCTCAGCATATTTGGTTTAAAAGTACATAATCAACACACTCGATTTCTGAAATTAGAGCAGTCAAGATATATTCTGTAAGTTAGGATGCTTCCAGATAATTATGTTTTTTCTAGGTGGCCTAGTGCTATTGTCAGCAGTTGGCTGGCAGATTTAAAGGACTGGTTGCTCACAAATTCTGGTGGAGAAAGGAAGGTGAACGCTTTTGATTACTAGTATATTGCGGTAGGTAACGTGTGCCTGTGGTCCCCACTGTGTCCTCCGATGCACTTCTTGGTGCACACTCAGGTGGCCTCCTTTATTTTAATTAACATTTTCTTAACTAGCAGTTGTCATTACCAGTCAATGTCTTGGGGCCAAACATGGGAGTCCTTAGTGTAAGGAGTAATTCCCAGTAGTGACGATATGGAGGCAAAGTACCAAGCAGTACAGTTTAATTCGTTCTTGCAAGAGCGGGCGCCCACCACACAGGCAGCGCACCATTTACACACAAGACATTGCTTTTTATTCCCTTCCTCGCAGACCCTTCCTCTTTTCCCCCAATGGCTGGGCTACTAAGAAGTTACAATCTTCTCCGTCCACCTACATCATACTACCCCTTGATATGCTCCCCCTCCGACTCATACATCCCATGTTCATGCTAATGAGCCCATTACCCTTGAGAGGTGTGTCAGTTACTATTCATGAACCTATGCAGTACCTTCTAAAAGTTCAACAGGTCAGAGTGGCCTTGCAGATTCTTACTTGAGCCAACTTGCTTCTTAAATCTGGTGGGAGGATGAGATAGGAAGAACAGGCCTTCCTTCAGGCTCATTACGGCCAGTTATAAAAGGTAATCAATTTCCTGCTCTCTTCCACTGAAGGTGACAGTTTTACTACTGTCCCCCAATTTTACCCTCTCTGGCATTTTTCAGGACTTTGATGTAAGAAACACTATTACTTTTAGTACAACTATTTACATGGTTCTATCCTCAGGCCTTTTGGCCTTAAGGGACTTCAATGATCCTACCCTAACCCTGTATTTCACCGTTTCTTTGGTTTTCACCTTACCACTTAGTAACAGTAATATTTCATTTCTCACATTAGGAAATAAAGAGGTTAGATAGTTGTGGGCTAGTGCTTTCCTCTGCAGTATACACAGACATCATGAGAAAGAAGGGGGGGAAATAAAAGGGATTTATTTGTCAGTCAAACTGTGGTGGGGTGAGTATGCATGAGTGGTCCAGAGTTAGAAAGAAAAAGAAACAGATAGGGGATGAGCTGGCTGGTGAATGTGACAGGGCCCAGAGAAGAAGAGTCTGCCTTTGGTGAAATAGCTTTCTCTTGGTACTGAGAATTATGTCTTGGTTTAGTGTATTAGGGCTCAGATCCCTTCTGTCTCTCTGTGGCAAACACTTGCCTTTTGTCTTCCATGGCAGCCATAATGTGGGAGTG